ATTTCGATGAATAAATTATTTTGATTTTGATTTTTCGTTATGTACTTCGAACCACTTAAATGTATGGATTTGTCCGAGGTAGAATGTATCGATTTGTGATAAAATGACTTGCCCGTTAAGCAATACCGTTAAACAAGGGAGAAAGCTGCTCACAGAATACCAATGAAAGACAGCAGGAAAATGCTCATATGTTTTGTCTCTAGAACAATAAGAATTTATTATTTTAAGGACAGTCTGTAGGTTCTGTACCACATCGTGAGTGAATTAGAAGTCAATATTCGTCTATTACTTTCTCCAGTTTTAGCAACGGCGCGACCTGGTTACGATTTGAGTTATTTTATCCTATAAAATCATGTTTTTTTTATAATGCCGATTTCGCTTGTCGGATAAGGTTTATTTGGACAATGTCACACAGCGCCATCTCTTAAATTTTCGAGGTACTAGGTTACTAATATAAAATAGCATCAATACAAGTAAACACCTCAAAAGTTTACGTAATAACACTAGATACATTGTATAGATTTATGATAAAAAAAAATTCCCGTTTTTGCAGAAAAGAAAGATAAACTTGATAGAAATATTAATAGCGCTGTCCACTATATTTTTATTAATTGGATTTTTGTCTGTAAGCACTGTGGTAGCTGAATCTATGGTGGATGTCGAAATCCGCTTTGCAATGCCGCTATTATATAAGGCATCCTAATTAGGAAATCTTTTAAATATGTAGAAAAAGTGCGAAAAGATTGTCGCCGCTGTGGGAATCGAACCCACGTCTTCGGCATTCGCGGCCTGACGCTCTAGCCACTGAGCTAAACGGCTGATTGCCACACCGACGAAAATCTTAACGTATTCCTCTACATTGTTTTCTTAGCATTTGAAGCAATTTTTGGCGCCATCTATTGTTATATCCTTTCCAGCATACAATCAATTTCGAATATCGTTTTACAACGATAATTCGAACGAGAGATGTCGCCATTGCTTTTTTTTTTTTTTTTTTAGATTTTTTTTTTTTTTTTAGATTTTTTTTTTTAGCTCAGTGGCTTGAGCGTTGGGTTCGATTCCCACAGCGGCGACAATCTTTTCGCACTTTTTGTACTTATTTAAATGTTCAATCTTTCAAAGATTAGCACTATAAACAATTTTTTTTTAGATTTTAAATTGAATTGCTGTAAAAGGCATAATCGGAACGTTCTTGAACCACTGTTCTCGATATCCTGGCTACTTAGAACATTTTTATTAGGCTGGCAAACTCAGTGATCCGCGTAGCGTTGCCTTCACCATTCTATAATGCGAGCTCCGCCTTCCAGAAGTTAAATAAGTAATCTATTAACGGTCATTACATTTCCCCGAATTAATTCTGTGTATCGGAAACTTTTTACTAGTAAAACGTCCTTACAAAACAGGAGGATAATGAGGGAGTTGCGACGTAGCAAACCTGAATAATGCAACCGAATTGTGAGAACCTCCTTTTTTGGGTCGGTTGAACTAAGGGATCCGTATATATGCAAACTCTTCTTATTATGGGCGACGGCTGCGCGCAATAGCGTAAACGGCGGGCCGTCGCGCACCGGCCAAAATAACCGTAGGCCTTCCCAAGGACAACCGGCCCAAGTGTTGCGATGCATCAATACCGCCCACAGTGCACCCACCAAGCGTCAAACACTCCTACGTGTGCTGAGCTAAAATATTAATGATTGATTCTATTTTTAGTGCCAGTTTACGCCTTTCGTGATTGCAACGTTCCAAGGCGTCTACTGGGGCGTTACCCGTTAAATAACGTAATGTCATAAATGATAGTACTTTTACGGATCTATCGCGTTTGTTTTTAATTTTAGTTTCCGACGTTTCGAACCCTTTACAGCGTTCATGGTAACGGACAGAGCAGCATACGAAAGATAAAAATGTCACATTTACTAAAACTCGTACATATTCCCAAGTTTTGCATAAAAATAATTCATTCGTTGACTTGCGTTCCAAGACCATTGCGCTTGTCAGAGACAATGTGAGCTTTGTTTTTGTTACGCACTGGCTGGAGGCAGAGTGGTGTGATTGTCTCTGACCTCTTCTGCGCTTGAGGAGTCTCGAGTATTTCTCTACAGAGTTCTAGAGAGTTCTCGGTAGTTCAAAAGTATTTCGTCTTTTCTAAACATAAACCCCACTGTAGGGTCGTCGCGGTGATGTAGTAAACATCTTAAGATTTCAAAAACTGTTTATTTTATTAATAAACTAAAATAATGTGGATTTTATCCCCGATTAAATAAATTCAATGTGATAAACTTTTAATTTATCAACTTCGATTTTTCATGAGAAAATATGGCATCGATAACTTTCACTTTGAAACGACTTCTGATGCTAACTTAACGTTTTATTTCCTTTTGGGCCCAAATTCGTGACTTTACTCTGAACATATAAAGAGTTTTTGTTATCTTTGATCCACTATATCGTTGGCGCTTCTTGTACACTCCTTTTAACCGTTATGCAGCATTTACTCATGACTATCTGAGAGGATACCCTTATAAACGGATTATATTTTTGTTGGTTGGCTTGGCTCGATCTAGATTGTAAATTTGGTCTCCTGTTTCATTGTCTTTTTCTGTATAAGCTCGTTCGACCAATGGAAACGAAGATGATCTCTTTTCACGTGCTCTTGGACCATCGCCTAGCGAAGTAAATCATCATACTGCTCCAAGCAGAAAGATAGAAGAAGAATATTGCTAAAATTTAAGTAAATACCGCTGTAAGAAGAGGATTTAAGTAAAATCTCCACTGTAACACAGCGTCCTGTCTGTTTGGCGACACCTTATTACGGGATAAAATGGCCGCGAGAATACAACATTTACGCTACGTGCCACCAATGATATTGTATGAAAATACAAGTTTGATATGACACTAGCGTACCGTAACTGAGGCATTCAAATCATGCCAATTGGCGTAACTAGATTGAAATTCTATAGATTGCTATATCTTTCCTTATCATACGTTCTATCATCTGTCACATTCACTTACATATGTCTTATACTGTAAAGCGGAACAATTTTTAAACGCCGCGCAGTATGGACATCGTTGCGTGCCACAACAAAGCTATTACTCTCAAGGGCCAGAATCTCAAACGTCATCAACTAAAGTCTACACAATTATGGCATTTCTGTCGATGTTTGGCCAAAGTGAGGAGGGGGGCACATCAGATCTTTACTGCCTCTGTTCACGGACGAGACAAGCAATCTTCTGGTGTCGTAAAACGGACGCCGGCAGTTTACGTCGGAGTCCACCAGTTCTCTGACGGTCCGCGCCGCTGCCGCGTCAATCGCGGGCCGATTTAAAAATATAAATTATTTGTTCGTCGCTACAAATCGCCGGGTGTTGTGCCAGTTCGCGCAATGGGCGATATCACGAAAAAGGTTATAAGCGATTATTATAGGAGCTTCTTGACGAGCCCTTAGCTCATACTTTTAAATATCCCCTTCATAACTACGTTGTTATTGGTCTCTGACGATATTTTCAGTTTTTTTTCTTTGGCCATTTACTCTCTTCTCCCAAATATTAATAAACCTAATATGTAAGTTTTCTAAGAGGGCATTTTAATGGGATTTCTATGTCTATATATACTAAGGGAAGAGTATAGAAAAAGGCCGTACCCGGTGCGGAGAATCGCATAGAGTTAAAGTAGTAATCTACAAATATACAAGTATAATTTGAACGAAGTAGACGACAGTGTGTGAACCAACTCTTGCAATATATAATAATTATTAATCGAGTGCCTGTATATCAGCAATGCTGATATTGATAAAACCATACTTCCTTAGCTTTATAAGTCTTTTTACAATTATTTTGTCCAAAGTGTTACCAGCAAGCCACATACGTCATAGACTGTTTATTTGACCGGCATGCAAAGGATATTCCGTCACACGGCCACAGTGCGCGTTTGGCGGATTTCCAACTTTTTTATTTACAATATCGATAAAATTATTATCTTTAATTGACGCACAGAAAATTTTAGACTAAAGATTCTTTGGTTAGGTTTAATACATTACAACTTGAGTAAGCCATAGGGTACATATAATTTTATCCTATGCTCAACTTAACCAGTTGCGAGCCGTTGCAAGGAATGATTGAACTCTTATTGTACGTAGAGCAATGATATTTTAATAAAAATCACAATCATTTATTCAAAGTTATTCTTACTCATAATAGTCCGGGTGTACTTTATTTTCTTCTACGTCGTCCTTTATTGTAAAAAGTTTGGATTTGGAAGATACTAACAAGATTAGAATACGTAATCGATTACTATACTACTTTTTATGTTAAAAGATGGCAAGCGAACAGTCCATTCACCTAAGTTAAGTGATTACCGCCGCCCATGGAAAACTACAATACCTATTGTAGTTTACCTATTGTAGCGGACCGGACAGACGTTATCCTCTACACGACTTAAATCCGACAACAACTTATAAATTTAAAAAAAAACGAATTATGAACCTAAACCATTCTCGAATCGACCTGAAGACGCTAAGAAAGTTCAGTGACACGTACACACAGTACACACGTACAGAAGAGTTATATATATACAGATATTATACTATATTATAATACTACTAGCTGCTGCCCGCGACTACGTCTGCGTAGAGGGGTGAAAATTTAGGGTTGTATGTATTTTTGTATGCTGTGTCATAAAAAAATAGAAACTAAAGGTTTTATATAAAAAATAAAAAAAAAAATTTAGGGGTGGACTACCCCCTTAACATTTAGGGGGACGAAAAATAGATAGTAGCCGATTCTCAGACCTACTGAATACGCATATAAAATTTGGTAAAAATCGGTCGAGCCGTTTCGGAGGAGTTCAAGTTCGAACCCCGTGACACGAGAATTTTATATATTAGATTTGTTACACTTTTATCAACAACATACTTTCGGCAACCAAAACATCTTGTTTTACGAGTATTAGTAGTCAATTCTGACACTACTTCGTTATACTTCGTGCTGAGGGTGATTTCTGTCCGCAGCCCCCGCCGATCCCGGGCATGCGGCCCCCCCTCGGCTCCCCCGGGGGCCCGGTGCCGGCGCCCAAGTCCTCCATGGGCTTCGTGATGCCGATCTACACCATCTGCATCATAGTGTTCTTCGTCTACACCCTCAGCAAGGTGAGCTATTGCAGGAAGGGGACCGACTAGTGCGGGCTGAGTTTAATGGCCTTAAGAAGTCGTTCCTTATTTTTTTATGCGTTGCCCCAAACTAGGAATTGTTGATTGTTAGATAATCTTGAAACAATTATCTGTAGCTGTTTTTTTTTTTGGTCATTTTTTTTGGTTTTTTTAAAGCATAGCCCTTACCTTAGGATAACATTATCCTGTGTTGTAAGGACGTTTTACGAACATAAATTTCACGCGGACAAACACCCAGATAATAATAAAAAAATATCTTTATTCACATAGACGCTTGCGCGTTCTTATGAAACGTCAAAATTTTACAAGAAATTAACACGTTCGTAAGTTACCACTAATAAGATGCAAAACAACTATCTGTGGGTCGCACAAATAGTTGTCCCCTGTGGGAATCGAACCCACGACCCCCGACGCCTAAGCCGATAGGCATCTAGCCGTTAGACATCGCTGTAGCCATTAGACCAAACGTTATTGTGGAAATGTTTCTGCTGGCACAGTTGGTGACAGACAATTTTCATGTAGGATTGTTTACACTGTCCATATCATCATCACCCCTCTGCCCCCTGCCCATAACCCACCTAGGTGGTGTTGGTACAAAATGTGAATCATGTTGCTAGTGGTTTTGGCTATATGTTTTACAGCCGGCCGCCTGCCTGAAATCAACCCTCGTTGAACATACACCGATATCTTGAACAGTTATCCGTGGGTCACGCAAATACTTGTCCCGTTGGGAAGTCGATAGCTCAGCAACTGCGCCACCATACTGTCCATATAAAAGTAAAGCAACAAAAAAGTTAAGCAATATCCTATATATGTCCCACTGCTGGGCAGAGGCCTCCTCTGTACAGAGGGTATTAAGGCGCGTGACGACTATGTCCCGCGGCCCCTCTGGATTGGCGGACTTCACATATCTTCGAAGCTTGGTTTTATCACGATGTTTTCCTACACCGCTGAGCACGGGATAAGTGAGCACTTAAAATTAACAATTTCATTGGTGCCGGCAACGGGATCGAGCTCAGGTTTGCTCGAGTATAATGAATTAAATCCAAGCGACCGGTCAATGAGGTGCAACGGCTCTTTCTGCCCATATACCTACGAAAACGACCCGAATGGCGTTGTGGGTAGTGTACCTGCCTCCTGCGCCAGAGGGTGTGGGTTCGATCCCCACTACTGGATAAATATTGTGTGATGAACATAGTATTTTTCTAGTGTCTGGGTGTTAAATTATGTACAATATGTATTTAATTACAAAAGAAAAGTATGTTTAAGTATGTTTATCAGTTTTCTAGTACCCACAGTACAAGCTTTGCTTAGTTTGGGACTAGAGAATGTTGTGTAAAAATGTGTCCTAAAATATTCATTTATTTATTTAAAACAGAAATAATCACCCCCCACGTTTCATCGGTCCCGCAGATATTGTTTAAACGCTCAAGCGCACCGTACGAGGGCGTCGCACCAGACCCACAGTTCCGCAGGCGGGTGTTCCGTGACGACTCCAGGGCGACACCGGACAAACTTGGTGAGGAAATCTGCCCTCCATCAGCTAACGGAGCCTAGCGCGTGCACTCCATACACGCAGCGAAACGCCTCAGAGTTTCACGTTTCGGAGAGGTTAAAAAACTTACCAATCTCTCTGAGCCTGGCCTTTGGCTGCGAGACATTAAGGTTTTTTTTCCTTTAACCCAAACAAACAAGGGATGACTTTACTGAAACTGGGTTTTAGTGTTTTGTGGAGCGACATGTTTATATGGGGCGACATGGGACGCAAAGCTTTTTTGCATCTATGGAATACACGCGTATGCAAAAGATCTGCAAGTATGTTATTCCCTGTCCTCCCATACGAACTTGCCCCGAAACACTGAAATAGTTACAGGTTATCATTTTGAGTAGGCGAAAGTGAGAAATTGGTAAGTTTCTTTTAGCATGGGTGGGTTTTATTTTGAGCCATGCTAACCGTGGTCGTCCGTTACTACTGAGGGGTCCATGTGGACGCCTTCGTGCATGTATAGGGACACACACATAGATTGTGGGTCTAGGGACACGCATAGTTAAGGGATCTTTTGAGTAATTTTAAAATTATTTTTTATTTATTAACTTCATCGCTAATTTAGCTGCGTATGATTATTCTTTTTTATGTATTATATATATTAGGGTTTCACGAGCACAAGAGGTCTCTGCAAAAATTACACTGCCATCAACCCTAATGTTTTAACGAAGTTACAAGCAAAATTTTAATTTTTTGGCCCTGTGACAAGATGACAGTGATCTTTTACTACGATTAGTGAAAAAGATAAGGCCATAGATGCTCGGAAGAAAAGCCTCGTGTCTTTCGAACCATGTCTACTTTGAATGATAGTTTTTGCTTTAGACGATGTTTTGTCAAAATTTCTATTTATTTTTCACACAAATAAATATGACAGAAAGACATTTAGTCCACTGCCTAATAAACTTATTCTAATTTCGTCTTCCAATTCCTCAAAAGGTTTGCCTTGTCAAAGCTGAAAAACTCCTAAATGTTTTTTTTAAACTGGTGGTGTTTGCTGCTTTTGTTCTGTTAAAATATAAACGGTGTTTTATCTTTACACGCGCAGGACCAAAAGAAAGGGACGCGAGTGAGTATAGTGTTGCCATAATTATTATAATTGTTAACAATAGGTATTATTTTAAAATATAGTTTATTTTTAATATAATTGGTTGTTTACAAATAAGCGGCCGGACGGCACGTGTTATCGTCCAATTACAATATCCAGTTAGCATAGAAATTACTCGGTAATTAGGTTCATTATATACTTTAAATAAGTGTTTCGTTTCATTATTAACCCAAAAAGTTTAGTTTTTCCTATATTGCCAAACAAGGTAAGAGTGAAAACGTTTCTGAGCTAGTGCGTTTGCTACTAAGATCGGGTAAGGTAGTTGTCAAAAAGTGACCAGACATCGGTAGAAAAAGAAAAAAGAAATGATTAAAAATATTGCATGCTATTGGCACAAACGATAATAAAATGCCAGAAAGAGGAGAAAACAATTACAAATTAATTTTGACGTTGGAGTCGTTAGAGGGATGCAAGCTAGAATAGACTTTATCGAAGCGGAACTGGGTCTCTAATGTCAGTGTCAATTAGGGGATGTGGAGCTCGAGGCGCTAAGAGCGAGACTGGCTGAGACTGAACGGGCGATGCAAAGGATCGTCGGGCAGCTGGCTCGCCGCGACGCGGTATCGCCACGTTGCGTGTTGGACCGTACCCGCGTCGGCAAACGTTTGACCAAATGTCGCGTCGAATAGCACAGCTGGACAGACTGATAGCCCAATATTTGAGCCAATGTCTCGACAAACCTAATGATAGCCAATCTTTGAACAATGTTTTGTCAAATTCAAGTCAAATTTTTCCATGATTGAGCTTCTTAGCATATTCGGTATTTTTATATGCTCTAAGTTATTTTTGAGATTAGTTTTACTATTAGTGACTCTTCATTTAGAAGAGTATGTTATAGAAAAATAATTTAAACACTTTTCACTATGAACTCTCTTCTATATTACAATATCGATTCCAAACCTTCAAATCGTATGTAAATTAGTTACTATTTTTATAGAGATTAAAATAGAATTTGCCTAGTTGAATTTATTATTTGAAATTACCCAATTTCAAAATTGCGTTGTTTGTTGAGAATGTCACAACGTTAGCTATTATACTTTCGATCTGAAGACCTGCTTTTTCGACGAGACTTACCCTCGGAGACGATCCAACACGGAACAGAACTTTCGTCCCTATATGCGTGTTATTTACTTAGTTGTTTATGTCATAGTAGCTTGCGGCATGGTGGCGGTTAAGCCCTTATACTTGTGGGCCAGTGTTCTTGCACGCGGGACCAAAATGAATGCGTTTGGACGATTGTGGAGTTCACCCCGAAACGTTGGAGCATTGCAAGTTGACTTTCTAGAATATGATCGAATGTTACCTAGTCGAATAACAATGCTAATCGAGAGAAATATATATATATTTAACTGAATAACTAATTTAATATAGTTATATTAAAGTAAATAAATTTACCCAAGCTCCCGATTTAATCAATTAACGTTGTGCATACATATAAATGTATATTATATATAACAATATTTAATACCCCGAAATTAATAACTCGTTAATTAGCTGGCTGTTATAACGTGAATTGTATCATTAACAGCGGCTTTGTATTTAAACATTTTCCTTATATATTTAATCTGTTCTCTTTGTTATTTTTCAGAAAAACTTAAATGGTAAATGGTATACGTTTTATTGAAAATGTCACAAAGATTATATCCGAGAAAACAGTTAGTTTCCAATTAATATAATTTGTATGACAAACCGCTCACAATTGTGGAAAACAAAATCGTAAAAAAGTCCATGCCATAAATACCAACCTTTTATTCATCCTTTATAATAATTAACTTAATAAAGGATTACAAAGAACTTAATGCCTTGAGGTATTCTTTACAAAGAAGATAAATCATGACAGTTAATATGTTCTTTTAGAGACTCAAATAGTCCAAGGGTTTGTAAACAGGTCAAACTTGTAATCATGAAAATTGTTACACACCGTTACAACTGGCCACAATCCAAGGGTGCATATTGCCCAATCGTCTGATCCGTCAGTTATTTTGGTCCTCAGCTATATTTTGGTGATGTTCAATTTCAGTTGTTCAACCTTCGTTTTTTTTTTGACAAAACAAAAAATGTTGCCCTAAATATGTAAATCGACATCGCTACGGATAAAATTGTAAAACTAATTTTGCATGTCCGCGAATTAAAAAAAAGGTGCCTCTCAGATGAAAAAAATATTCTCTTAAACTTTTAAAATTCTTCTAAACGGTGTGGTTAAAATGAAATTCTTTCAACTTATCTCGAAATTTTCAATGTTTAAACATCCCAATGGAGTAGTAGGAAAAAATATAAACGTAAAAAAAATACACAATACCTACTATTTTCTACGAGTCAGACACTAGCCAAATAATAAAAAAGAAATAAATTTGAAGGAAGCAATTAATGGCAACATTTATCGCGCGCAGTTGTCACGGCCATCTCTGGCCTGGTAGCGGAGGTCCAACAACAGATGGAGGCGAGCGACGCTCAGTACCAGCAACGTCAGGTCTATGCATGTCTCGACACAGCCTGCTTCACCATACTGGGTTTACACTTGCATACCGCATTTACACTAACGATCGTAACCATTATGATCGCTTGTGTAGTTACATTAGGGACTCCGGAGTCACAGGAGACACGTATATAATTTGCAAATACGTTTCTCATAGCAATTTTACAAAAGTGTTACAAGGCACGTTAAAATGACATTTAGTCAAATTAATTGTTGTTAATTGCTTTAAAAGTAAAGTAGATATGGATAGTAGTAGACTATGCCGTATTGTATTAAGGCATAGTCTACCACTCGACCCACTGCAGAATAGCACATTTCATATTTCGAAATATTTATTTTTGTTACTATTTCAAAAATATGCCGGTTTCTTCACGATGTTATCCTTCACCACTGATTACGTGATAATAACTTAAAATTAACAATTTTATTGCTGCTAGCACTGGATTTGAACTCACTTTACTAGAGTATATTTAATTAAAAGCCAGTGAACACTGAGCTATCACGGCTATATACAACAAACTCTATAAATGATTAAAATCTTCAGTAATATGTAAATGTAGTAAATATTTCTCTCCAATAAAAAAACAACTTTCGTAATTAAGTATTTCTGCCTTTTATGGTGCTATAGATTAGGAATTTGAAAGTACGCAATGTATACAAGTGTTAACTCGGTATGTTTATGTTGATTTATTTGCGAGATTCTGTTGTATGTTACAATTTTTGTTTTTTTATCATTCATATTTCATGCCAAAACTTACAGAATCAAGTATCTAACAAAACATAGAAATCGTGTAAATATAAACCATAGGAGAACAATACCTACACAATTATTACGCCTAATACTGACACGCAAAATTGTCATTGTTCTCCGATCTAAAATTAATGTTATAAGCCAAATATACTTGTGTATAAATATACAACAATACATAAATAGAGGTAGATATCTCTATTTATAGTGTTTATTTCGGACTTAATCCTAGATATACATAACAATTGTGTTAAATTATGTACCCTTATACGAAGCAATGGATAGGAGCCCATATTTTTTTAATTTGATAAGATCGACATGAAGCTGTTGGAAATGCGAATTAAAATGAAAACGCAACCGCAGCACGCGTTTGGCACGTCGAATACATCACGATGCAAATAATAATAACCTCAAAATATCTTCGAGTTTTGGCGCGTTTTCCTCCTTTGCCGCCGATTTGTTTGCCTAATTCGACTTTTCTTTTAATAATTTCATTATGAGAATAATTTGAAGATAAAGGTTCTATATTACAGTTGATTGTTCGTAGATCTAGCAGCGATATCGATCAGCGTAAAATTATAGGTACTTAATGGAAAATCGCAGACTACAAAAAGTCTGATTTCTGATATAGTTACTTTTTAATTTTCGAAACACATCTTACACCGATGTGCAATCCACTGCCATAAACATTTTGTACGCTTTGATTTGCTTTTAACACGCATAAACACACGCGAATAGGCGGAAAACCGATAAACAAATTCGGTTTTTATTTAAAAATAAAAACGTATTATATTATCTCGCTTCATTGGAATTCATGTTGTTTGTTATTATTTTTTCATTGTTTCACGTTTATTTTTTTTGTACATACCATTTTTAGAGTACATTAATTTTGTTGTCATACGTTTGTTTTTTTTTGTCAGTCGTCATTATTTCAGTTGCATTTGTTGCATGTTATTTTTTATTGTGCCATACAAAATAACTGAGGTCCTTGCCGCCATAGCCTGACTGTTTGCACCGAGTTACCATGTCTAACAAATACGAAATAAAAATCGACAATAACATAAAATGTTGCAAATCATTAAAATAAATGAACAAAAATTGAATAAATTAAATTTATTAAAAATTAATTTATTCTTCTGTTTACATTTTTGCATATGTGTCCGATTAGATTTTTTACTGCTTAGAGATTATTTTTAGATTCATTGTTTTTGACTTATTCCCTGTAGAGTTTGTATATAACTACTAGATGATTAATCTTTTTATAATAAATTAGTAAATTTTGAAACTAACAAGAAAAATCTTCTATAGTTTGGCTATTGTTGATTGCTGTTTGTTTTAGTGTACATTTTGTTGATGTAATTTTAAATTTTTCAGTAGATTTAGGTTTGCTTCGAGTGTATTCCGTTGTTTTAACAAGTACTTAAGTTGGACTTTCATTATGTAAACATTTTTAGATATTTGTAATATTCTTTGGACGCATTCGCTTTTTACTTCCCATATGTGTCTGCATCCGTGATCTAGATATGTGTGGTATGTTTAATAGATTGCTAGAAATAGATCCTGTACCGGCATATCCATGCGAGCTCATTTGTGATTGACAGAAGCAAAATGGCTAACACACCATCCTTTCCAGGAGGCGCAGGATAACGCCCGTCCGTACACCAACGGAACAATTTTACTCAACAGCGGCCCAGTGCAAATCATAGCTAGCGAATTCCAAGAACCCAAGCAGACAATTCCAGACGCCAAAGATGATGTGCAGAAAGAATCAACACCAGAACCCCAAACACCGCAATCTACGGAAACTGTTGATGATGTAAAAGTCCCAGAACCAATTGAAGTTGTAGAAGGAGAATCTCGTGACGAAAAGTCGCCGGAAGCTGACGCTGAATTGGTTGAGACGGAAAAGCTATCAACTGAACTTATCGACGCTATAATAAATGTCAGGGACGAAACGGGGATGGAACAGGAATCTGAAAATTTGAAACAAAATGAATATGAATCACAGCGCAGTGGAGATAACAAAGATCCCACACCTGAAATTGGACAAAATGACAGTTCTGAGTCACCCTTGGAAAAAGCTCCAGAAGTGAACGGTGACAAGCAGAGTCATGGCAATCTAGATATCATTGCTTTGTCTGAGGGTTTAGATTTAGATGAAGATAAAACATTAGCACAAAACATTGAACAGCTAATAAAAGAAGAAAGGGGAGAAGACATACAGAAAGGGAAACAATCAACGCCGGAACTTTTGGAAGAAGCTCTTCAAGATGATTCGATAAGGGAGGAACAAGATGACGGTGAAAATGCCGATAAAGAAAGCTCTAGCGTTAAAGTAAGTAATAACGTAAATACAATAACTAAGTAAGGAGAAGTAAAATTTTTCGTTTCAGGAATAATATTATTAAAAAGTATTTAATTATCATGTAATACGAAAAGGTCAGCAATTGTGGTTGTGTTAAGACCACAGAGCAGCTTGTGCTGTTGCACGAATGGGCAGCCTCCTCTGGGGAGGCACCATAGCTGTAGAAAACCGGCGCGAAGTGAAGTGTTAGATTATTGCATTTTGTCTAGCGAGATAGCCGGGGCCTGCTCTTTTAATAGCTAGTAAAGCAGCTGCACCCACAAAGTTGTAGATGCCATTAGAAGGTGGTATTCATGTATGAAAGCTTCTATTTAGAAAAGTAAACAAACGGGAATGATAAAAAAAAGTTTTGTAATGACGCCATATTTTAATCAAATATTTTTATGACTTCTGTCTCGTTTTGGTACTTTAGTCTTAATAAACATTGACGGTAATGTATATTTCTGCAAATCCTGTTAGCATTAAAAGACGACTTGTTTATTTTGCTGATTCTCAGCGGCAAGCAACATAATAATTCTATGCTAACGGTTCCTTCCCGAAAAAAATAATACTTACGTAGTGTCAAATTACAATACTATATGGTTGGTAGATGGACTTTAGCGTAAAATCAAACAGTTCAATTGATTTTTATCGAATCTCTCTTTTATCGATACTGCCTCCTGCCGTGTCACTTTGGAAGTTAACAATTGGCGCTAGCAAAATTATTATTCTTACACCATTAAAATCGCTAGAACAAATTCTACTACAATAGTGTAAAGCATTAAGTCCTACGACGCCCAATTAATAAAATATCGTATCGTATTATATGACATCGATATTGCATTCAAGGATTCACTCACGCATTTTGCCTTTCCTGTAAAATGTGCGTTTTGTCGCATAACGCTGTTTAGCTCTGAGGTACGGAGTTGATAATGCATCTGGCAAATCAAGGTTCTGGGTATGGAGGTGACAGCGCACACTGCAGACGGGGCCGCCTGGCCACGGTCGCAGGCGCCCCTCACTGCACCGCCCCCGCAGCGGCCTACGGTGAGGCATACATTAGTTTAGTTCGGAAGGTCCTTAGGGGCCGTCCATTTATCACGCGTGGCTCGAAAGGGGGGGGAAGGGGTTTGGCAAAAATCACGAAATATAACAAGGGCGTAGTAAGATATGACGTATATTTATATTTTCGTCAAGCGATTTCTAAACGGAAAAGCCTCGTGTAGTGCGACCTTGACATCTGTTACATTTTCATAATGGTCTTTAATTTCAGAATAGACACCACACAACATATTACTAAGGGGGAGGAGGGGTGTTAAAAATGCTTAAAAACATAACGTGATTTATGGACGGCCCCTTACGTGGTCGGACCACGCAGCAGCAGCTTTTATAAAAATGAGCAGGCCCGTGGAACCACGGCCCAGTTTACTACCTTCTCGAATAAGACTGAAATTTAATACAGAACTCGTTGATTTGTTTTATTCGATAAAGCATATCTTAAATAAAAAATACAATGCATCAAAAATTAAATAGCCAAACCGAAAAGCAATTCTCATGCTCAAATTTATTGCTCATTAAGTAATTGCAGGCGCTCGTGCTTTCATCAATTTATTTACTTTTATATATATAACACATGTAAGAATAACATAACAGAACCTTCCTTTAATTAGTGATCATATCGGTGGTCATCTGATGTTAAATAACACTCAACGCTGCCAACGCAACGATCCTTTCCAGCACGAAGCGCGAGACGTGAAGTCGATTTTCCTGGAGACTGAGATACCTCAACAGTCGCGCGTGCTGGTGGCCGATTTCGAAGAGAACAGGAGCGAACGCCCCAAGCCAACAAAGAACGCACCCGTAAGTATACAGGGAGTACTTTTGAGAAGTGCCCAAATTTACACAGGAGGTTCAGACTCGGTAGTATAATCGTTTATATTATGAATATATATTGTTGAATGTTTATATATTGAAATAAAAACAAAGTTTTTTTTCCAAAAAAAAATGCCATTCTGTTCCTTAAAAAAACAGAACGTGTTGACAATGCGGTAGTCATTCATAAATACCTACATTTTACCGTGCACGAACTTTTGTGCGTGTTAGTTAAGAATGATCGCGCGTAAAATAAATGAGTGGCGTATAAATGACGCACTTTTTGAGATAAGTTCAAATGAATGTAATTAATTAATTATGAGTGATTTTAAATATTTATCATTTTTATATAACATTATTTATGTCTAGAATTTAATTAAAAAAATGGATACACTTAGAAAAGCCACCCTGTATAATTAGCATACAGACCATACAATAGTTATGAACAAACGTAGTAAAAGTATGTTTGTATTTATGTACGCACGTAGGAAGTAATACTTCTATAGGGTAACAAAATAAAAATAACTAAACATTTTAACCCATGATGTGCCAGTACTCTTTGTTTTGTAAGACATTAAATGCAATTGATAACAGTTTGATACAGACTATATTTTGTCAGTTTTTTATGTTGAAATGCGCAGACATATTAGATTATAAGTACACAGACTAAATTCATTAACGCGTACAGACATGCGATATATGAATAATATAAATCCCGTCATGAGCTCAACTCGAAAACACACAGAGAGGAACGTGAACGTTAAGACAAACACATATTATTCATGAACGTACAAACCTATAGAAATACATCGAACTCTATTTTTGGGCTAAGAAACAGCAGTGTGTACGTAAATTACTTACAATAAGTATCGTAATTATATAAGTTTACTACCGGACCGGGCAGCCGTTGTCCTATATACACAACTTAAATCCGATACATAAAAAAAATAAATTGTGAATCTAAACCATTCTCGAATCGACACATAAAATTTCATTAAAATCGGTACAGCCGTTTAGGAGTTCAGTGACATCACACGTACAGTAGAATTATATATATAAAGATTATAATAGTTTTGTAAAATATTTGAATTATAGATAAGTACTAATAAACAACACTACTATGGAAGAATAAAATTAATAATATTGTGATTTAGAGAAGCCGTGATAGCTCAGTGTTCGGGCGCTCACCTTTATTTCAATATACTCGAGCAACCTGAGTTCGATCCCCGGTGCCGGCACCAATTAAGTTTTTAACTTTAAGTGCTGAATTGTCACGTGCTCCGCGGTGAAGGAAAACATCGTGAGGAAACCTGCATATAATTTCGAAGATATGTGAAGTCCGCCAATCCGCAGTGGGGCCGCGCGGTGGACCATGCCCTGATACCCTCCGTATAGAGGAGGCCTTTGCCCAGCAGTGGGACATGTATAGGCTGTTACTTTACTTTTTTTTTTAGATAAGCCAGTTGGATTTCAGTTTCACTTTAATTCCGAAATTCAGTGGTGATAATCTGATACCATTTACTATTATTTATTGGACTTTTGCTGTTTGCAGTTGGTTGTGAGCGGCAAAATGACGCTGTCCCTCATACAGGACGCGCCACGCGAAACTCCAGAGAGGGATCCGGGTAATTTAAATTCGATTGCACGTTATTTTTTAATCTGTTATCACTTGTTTTGCCTTCCCGGGACCCCTCCACTAACACTTAAACTTTATGGTATGGTGTTAAAGTTCAAATTGACTTTTAAGTATTATTACGAATCTTTTGTACGGGAATATAGAAAAGTGTTGTTTTTAGACTTTTTCCGGCAATTTTTTTAAATTTTTCTCTACGTATGAACCATCTTCCTACTTCAAGGAATATTATCAAAAAAGAATTAACGAAATCCTTCCAGCCGTTCACGCGTGATGGCGTGACCAAGGGAAATAGGGATTTATTTTTATATATATATATATATATATATATATATATATCTATATCTATATATATATATATATATATATATATATATATATATATATATAGATATAGATATAGATGTAGTTAATTATAATAAAATGTGTAGTGGAATTTTTACATGTAATAGTAGGCGCACCACTTGAAACAGCTTTTAGAGTTGCGATTTTTATGTTCGTCAATCAAATCGTGAAATAAGTATTTCTTATTGATTGTTTCAAAAAAATTAAAAAAAAAAGGTATGAATGTCGTTTATCCATGTAGCGATAAAAGTTTTTTGCATAAAGGGAACTAGCTAAACTTTTATCGTCACAGACTGATTTGATATTTGTCATTATTTCAGAGTCGACGGTCGACGATTTCACGACAGCTAGCGCCATGACCCAACCGAATGCTGAGGTATTAATTGAATCATTATTAAAATTGTTCTTTCTCCTGTCCATCTCAGTGGCTAGGTTTTTTCAACCGGCCGAATTCGAAACAAACACCCAGAACAACTATTATCTGTGGGTCACACAAGTATTTGTTCCGTGTGAGAATCGAACCCACGAGCAAGCCAAAAGCTTAGCAACTGCGACACCGGGTGAAGTCATCATTAATAACAGATATTGCATCTGTTATTGATGGTGATTTTATTTCATTTCACTATACAGCGTGTCGTTACCATCGCGACAATAAATGAACACACGCCTAACGCTACTTTCCAATAATCATAAAAAAATCTTAACGTTAAAAAAGTCCATAATTAAATTTTTTTTTCAAACAAACTAATTAAGGAAAAAAGAAACAAAATTTGTAACATTCTATACAACTACAACTGACTGATTCGTACATTCAGAGACTTTTTCATTCGTTGCCACAGCGCCGCATTACAAGCCTCTTCTTCTAACAGTATGTTTTGTCTCTTTTAAATTAATTCAACCCATTCATATGCTTTGTGACCTTTACAAATGAACTTTACGTTACAGTTTTATACGTAGGGGTGTTCTAAAATTCTTTGTTTTGTAAAATTTAATAACTCTGTAAATATTGATGTTTAAAGAATGTAAATGTTTAATACAATTTTAAAAGTTATCCTCTTTATGTGTGTTAATTTATTGTCGCGATTGTAAAGAAACGCTGTATAAATAACAGATGCAATCGCAGTACATTTGCTACTGTTCGAAAGTCGTTTGAGGTGCATAATTATGCACCAAAATCCATAAAGTGCATTTTTTAATGTTATCTATTTAACTGTGATAAGGCTTGTAAATCTTCACTGTTGCACAAGTGAGCTCGTCCGGGTAAGTACCAAGATCTCACATAAGACCGGTATTAAGTGGATGTGCCATACTTCTGTTTCGTCTGGTGAGTGAGGTAACCGAGACCCACATTATTAAAAGGTGGTTTACGCATCTGAAACCCTACGAGTGTTGCTAATGTCTATAAGCGGCGGTTAGCACTTAACAGCAGGTAAACCGCCAGCTCTTTTGCCACCTTCTCACATAAAAAGATATGTATAAATTTTTCCATCGCGACAAAGGGTTTGCCAATTCGGAAAACGTAAGCTCAATATCGTACAATACTTAATAGATTTAAATAAAGCTAACCTACCGTTAACTGTTGCTGCACGCAGAAGGAAGATGACTTATCAGACGAAGAAATAGAAGAGGAGATAGAGATAGAGGAAATAGAAGAAGAGATCGAGGAAGAGGAGGAGGAAGAAGATGAACCAAAGAATGCGCCAAAGTAGACAGATGTCGAGGGAAGAAAATGAACTGAAATGTTTTTTAATCGTAGTACCGGTTTCTTAATAACGACTATGTAGTGGTTTAATACGTATTCAAATTAATGTTAAATTAATATATAAAAGTATGCTAACGCTATATTTTTACCAAAAAGAAACTATTAATTTTTCGGATCCAAGGCTGTTACATTTTTTATCTGTATATTTTATTGTACTCTTCATCAACGGACACGTCGAAAGTATGGGAATGAAAATATATTTTGTTTTACAACTGTTAAATAAATAAGGAGTTTATTTAATTTATGGTAAATTTGACGATAAGTAGGAAAATTATTTTACCAAATATGACGGGCAATTATTTAAATTAACAATTTGATTTATTTCTGTTAAAAGGCTATTAAAATGTTATAATAAAATCCGTTTAACATTAAATTTAATGAATCGGAACTGTTTTACTAGAGTAAGAAAGTTGCGTCCTATGACATTTTTGCTGGATTCTCTCTTAAGTCAACCCTTAAGTACCGGAATTCCTTGTTATGAGCTTCCCAACCGAGTCTTCATATTATATTTATTGCGTTGTTATTTTTTTTACTGTTGAATAGATTTTATATTACGTTGTTTTATCTATACTCATACCTTGTTTATTATAACTACATTTGTTATCTTCGTAAATTACTAATAACCAATTCCTGATATAAAATTTTGCACATTATTTACTTCCTGACAAAATAACATTTATTTACATTAGAATAAAAAGTCTTCTGCGGGCAATTAGTTTGTGTAAAATTATATCACTGTCGATGTTCAATATATTTGTGTGCCAAATCTTTCTTCCAGCTTTTTGAGTATTTTTTCTCCTTTTTAACGATATTTTAGATAGATTACGATGGTTGCGGATAAAACTGGGATCTTTTGATTTTTTCGTAACATATTTTGCGCGTTAGATTTGCGTTCCAAATGTAAAAATAACGATCTTGTCACATTTCATCAATTTCATTTTCAATCCGACGAGATCGTTATATGCGCGCGTTTTCGTCGAAAACTTTGGAAGTCTGCCGTTTAGCCAAATTTGGTCGTAATTTGTACGACTTGGATTTTACTATACTTCTATCCGTATATTACGATGTCTCGAACATAGGAAGTTTTTAAAGTTAGAATTTTTACATTTATATTGGAGATGCGTCCATGGAAATAATTCGTTTTGCTCTTTTTTAAATCTGTATGTATCAGAAATAACAATTCTTGAATTTAAAAACAACAAAATAACAAAAAAAAGAGACAGCCTACCGTTACGTACCGTATCGTCAATATGTTATATACCTATGTTGTTTTTTATATTATCTGTTGTAGTAATGCTATTAACATATAAATCGTTACTTGAATTTTAACCAAAATTGGTTTTTATTAAGGGAATACAATTACATTTGCAACCAACAAATTATCCAATTTTGTTACCTATTCACTTTAAAGTGAAATTAGAACTACTTTTTTTATTATTAAATATTAACGGTTTCGAATTTCTCCAGACAGAAATTAGAATTACTCCATGTGCGAAATATTTCCATATACGTTAAACACGAGACATCAACTTAGGTATTAGATCTAAGACATTGTATGTTAATGCACAGGTGTGATGTTGTAGTAGTGACGATTATGCATTTAAGGGTCCGATTTACTCAGAGTTAGATCATACGTGTCGATGCGTTCTGTATTGAAGTGTTGTTTTAATTTTAGAAATGTATACACAAAAAATTGCACACTTTGGCCGGTTAATAATGTTCTTCTGCTCGCCTCCTAACAAAGTGTACAGCCCTCAATTGCGATGCTTGAACATTCCTCTTACAAATTGACATCATTTATTTTTTTTAATCAATTTCACACTTAATACAGTAGATGATTGAATAATAACGGAAACTTGTTCGAGTATTTAAAGAATAGCATTTTTCTTGCTTGGTTTTTGCCTTTGTTAATTGTAATAATAAAGGAATAAAATTCTAACAAAATTAGTTTCTATTTCATTTCAAACACATGTTTATGTGTATATTTATTTACAGTTACAGCCCAGTTTCAAGGCATCAATTTTAAGTGCTGATTTATCACGTGCTCAGAGGTCAAGGAAAACATCTTGGGTTAAACCTGCATATCGTCGAAATAATAACAAAAAAAAAAATATTTCAAAGATATGTGAAGTTCGCCAATCCGCGATGTGCCCTAATAACCTCTATACACTTCACTGTTACTTATTCACAGTTCTTGTAACAACAAAATTTTTTGTTTCTTTCATATCTAAAATTTTAATTATAATGATAGTTCTCGAGTGGAGACCATGTCTCTGAAAACGTAGTGTTGGAAGTCCCCGCGCCAAGTGGACCGATGACCTGAGAAAGGTCGCTGGTTGAGGAAAGCGGAAGATCGTGCATTGTTGCGTGCCGGGGATGCCTATGTCCAGCAGTGGACTGCAAAAGGGTTAAATAAAAAAAAAATTATGGGAATTCAGGAAAACGGTTTTTATAATGGGAGAGTGGCAATATAATGAAGTTTCTAAACAAATATTTCCATTATTACGCCAGTGGACGTAAGAGAATATTACCACTTATCAATTATTTTTATTAAACATTATTGATAACCACTGTGTTTTGAAGTCAGTCATGGAAGTGACAAGTTTCTATACAGAAAAAATTTTTTTTTTTCAATTTTGTGCAATGCCTCAATCTACAACAAAAGAAAACATAAATATTGAACCACTACCAGAGTAACTAATAATTACAGTTACAGCTTTATCCTATAAAACCACTTATTTCTCCCCATTAATAAATGTTTAATGAAGTGAAGATAACTTTCGACCTGATCTGATATTAGAATTCTAGTTCAATTTTGAAGTATATGTATGTGTAAGAAGAGATAGTAAAGTTAGGAGTTACAATCTATGCTCAATGAAATTTAAGCTTGGTTGCCTTTTTTATGCATGTTTTTAATAATCAACATACAACAACATAAAATTAATTAATTGATATATGGTAACTGCTGTCCCTGCATGTTACCATATACTTCATAAAACTCAGAGCAATCAGATGCAGTCTAAAACTTAGGACCATAAGAAGAATCAACATAGAACTATATTAATCCTACAACAGGTATGAGAATGAAATCATATTTTGTCTGTTATTAATTTGTCTGAGAATTCTTGTAGACCTTATAAAATATCAAAATCAGATTTGATGCAAATATTGTTTTTATTTCAACTTTGCTTGTAACATGTATTTAGTATTAAATAAAATAGGATAATAAATGATCATATTTACAAACTACTGACGGCTACACTTCATCCTCTGGTATTAATTTGAACCTGAAAAAGAGTAAAATGAATGCAGATAAAGAAACAGAGCACATTCTTTAATACTTATAACAAAATGCAATAAGTTACTTTTATTGAAATCGAAAACTGAATAATGTACCTACTTTCCATGATGTAACAGATACTCTGGGCAAATACAAAGGCCTAATATTGCTGTAAGAACATACCTTTAGTCCAAGTTTTGAGATCCTCGACGTCTTTCACAATGGTCCAGTCGTGTCTGACAGAATGAATTGTTTTAGTAGCATGTGGAGGGATCTCTGGCAAAAATGTCCAGCCATTGTCTACTCCAGACTTTTTCACGAAAGCGATAGCACCGAGTACGAAAGCCGCCGGTAATGCCATTGTAACAGACCTGGCCCAGGCACCAAAAATGGCGCCAGAGGCCGCACCGCCCAAAAAGTAGTTTATACCGTCATTTTTGTTTCGGATATTTTGGGCAACATTTGTCGTAACCGTAAACGCTGTTGCCATCCCGACCAGAGGCCCGATATAAAACATGTATCGGCTTGCGGTGTTCACGAAACCCTTCGTATGCGAGAACATGAGAACGTCCATCGTAGCACTAGCTAGTCCTGTCAGAGCGGCATATTTAGAGGTAACAAAGACTTTTTTATAAATATCCTGTCCCTCGGGCGTATCGTAATATTTGTAAGTAAGTAAAGACATTTTACGATAATGCAACCAACTTCGTGAAAGAAGTTACACAATACAGTTTGACATACGTCAGAACTTTGTGAAAAAAATTGCAATTAAACCGGGTGTTTACAAAGAATGTAATAGAATGCTATCATTATTAGTGTAAAATTAACGCTTTTATAGAAATATTAATGAGCTATAACGTCACGAAGAAATTTTTGCACATCATTGTAAACTTGATTGATCCATTTTTTTTAATAGTTATATTTTTTAAAACTATAATTTTTAATTATTAAAAGTATAAATGAACCTGAAATTTACATTTAACTCTGGACACTTTAAATAAAGTATTAAAGTTTGTATCATTATAAACACGAACCATCTTATCATACTTCACAAATTAGTTCACTTCCTTCCGTCATCGACTATGCATCATAATCACAGTCTTGGCTAAGTTTTATCTGTGCCAGTGTCAAAAAGTCAAAAGTATCAAAAATGGCGGCGGACGGTGACGAAGTGATTAGTGATCAGGAAAAAGTGAGAATTGTTTCGGATTTCATACTTCATTCACCACCAGGCGAATTTAACGAAGTTTTTAACGATGTCAGAGTTTTGCTAAACAACGATACCTTACTTAAAGAAGGCGCTAGTGGTGCATTCGCCCAGTACAATAAGGATCAGCTCACGCCCGTGCGCCTTGAAGGCTCCGAACTACATACTCTTATAACTGACCATAATGAGCTTGGTGGCGGCAGATTTTTCGACCCACGTTCCAAGCGGTCCTTTAAGTACGATCATTTACGTAAAGAAGCTTTGGAGTACGAGCCTTATGAGCCCGACCGTGTGGCTGAACCCTGGCGGGCGGCGCTTGATGAAGAGTTGACGGCCTATGTCGCAGCGCACTACAAACACGGCGCGAGTTTAGTTGTGGGACGTGCTCTAGACTCTGGTACCGTATCGCTTGTGGCGTGTATCGAGGATCATCAATTCCAGCCGAAGAACTACTGGAACGGCCGGTGGCGTTCTGTGTGGTCTTTGACTATCGGTGGAGGCGCGGCGGAGCTACGTGGTATGTTGCGCGTTCAAGTCCATTACTATGAGGATGGTAATGTGCAACTGGTCAGCTCCAAAGAGGTGCGAGCACCCTTAATAGCAACGGGTGAGGCCGCGACCGCTAAGGAGTTTGTCCGATTAGTGTGCGACGCCGAGAACGCGTACCAAACGGCAATTTCAGATAACTACAAGACTATGAGCGACACAACGTTCAAAGCGCTCAGAAGGCAGCTGCCAGTGACTCGCAGCAAGATAGACTGGGCCCGTCTTGTATCCTACACAATTGGCAAAGAGCTCAAGAGCCAATGATGTCCCGCCGCTGCGCTCTGAGCAGCAGCGGTCGCTCCATGCCTCTGTACATATTCGCATAAGAATAAATCTTGTTCAAATATTTACTGGCTCCGAGGTGTGCCTACCCCGGCGTGTATTTATCTATGAGTATATCGAGAAATTGCTATTGTAATTGTTAAATTTTATGCATTTTTGTTACTCATTAAAAATACAGATTGCCACATTTTGAATATCGGTTGCTTTGAAATACTCTCAAAATGGGCTTCTCTCTGAGATGTACAGTAAATGTCTGTTAGTAGCATTTGAAATATAGCAAATAATGTACTTAGGGCAGAACCTATATGCATAGATCCTGTGTAGGTCATAGCAAATTCTGGTAGTTGGGTTATTACTACAAACAATATATGAAACTGAGTTTTAACTAAGTAACTGTTTGCCATGATTGATCAATAGTTGTGTGAGCAATATATTTGATATAATTTCAAAATATTTTCTAATACATGTCAATTAAAGATATATTTAAACTCTCAAGTTGTTGGATCAGTTTAAAATTATCATTTCCGCTCATAATTCTAATTCCATCCAACCATTATGTTTTATTGTCAGTATTATTTGCATTAGTCGTGAAATATTGCTTGCATAACTGAGCGCTATGTGACAATTATGAACATTGGAATGGAGGTCTTATGGTGCATTTAATTATAGTTAATTTAAAAAAATGTCCACGTAGCTTTAACGCGGTGTTAATGAGCATAGAGCACAATATATTCGATATTTTTCAAATAAATATGTGGAGTGTTGCTCAAACTATGGTATTGATTACAGTGAAAAAGTATAATTCTATTGTCCATATGTTATATGGCATTGAGTGCAAATGGGAGCAGATCACTCTTTATATGTAACAATTATGATGTCAATAAGGTTTATTTTGTAATTATTATTATAATTTAAAGAACGTACATAAAAATCCAAGTATTCTGTAATGTATGATTGAATTCATTTGAATAAAAATATATATTAAAATGTTGCTAACTTTTGTTTTTTTTTATTAGTCTATCTAAAAATTATTGATATATTTTTGGATTTTTTTGACAAACCGGATTTCGAGCTATCATGAGTTTTTAAATGTTCAGGGTTGTGTCAAGAACTTTAGTAATATGTGTTCAATAAAACAAAATGTTGATTTTATTTTAAATTTGTATGTTTTGCACAATTTTAGGTCAAGAGATTGATGCTTGTTATACAATATTCTTTCAATACTGAATTTTTGTGATGAAGAAATTACTTCTTTATAAGGAATTTCCTCAAAAGAACAGTATTGTGATTATGAATGTTTCATTTAATGGGCAAAATCTACGGTTAAGAGTACAATAAGGATATTACTGACGAATCATTAAAACCTATGAATTTTTGAGATAAATAATTGAAACTATACTACACTACTATATATTTATTGAATCTGTAGCTATTAGCTCAATACTTGTTTCCTTGTCAATTTATATTTTATTTATACTCAGTTGTGTAAAGAGGAAAAACTTATATGCTTTAATAATTTCAAGTAAAGGAAAACGTTACCACATATTTTCGAAGCAATAATAAAAAAATCTTTTGGTGATGTGTGAAGTCAGCCAATCCAACATTCAATATCCTGGAACTCTATTACTGTTCTAAGACTCGCAAGGACACTAGCTACACAATGTTTCCGATCTCCTTACTTCCTTACTAATATTATAAATACGAAAGTTTGGATGTATGGAAGGATCAAGTATGTTTGTTACTCTTTAACGCAAATACTACTGAATAGATTTTAATGAAACTGCAATAATATAGCTTATACATCATAATAAAACATAGGCTATCATTTATATACATATTTTTATGTATATCTGTCTGAATGTTACGCAGCCTAATTCAGCCTATTCTACGCAGACGTAGTCGCGGGCAGCAGCTAGTATCAATATAAGACGACTACGCCGAATGTCCCAGTTACAGTTCGCACTGGAATCTATTTATGAAACATTGAAATAGACTGCGATGGAATCTCTCGTGTCACAATGTACGACGCTTGTATTACTTTTGTATTAAACTGAATCAATATTAAAAAAGTAAGTTTTATGCTTACTGCTACTTAACCCTAACAGGGTGGACTATTAGTACTAATGTGTTTTTTTCCAATTTCTTATTAATTCCTAAATCATGAGTCGTGGAATTTTTGTCACTATTTATGTATCAGGTACAATTCATAGGTAGCGAGATTTGTACATAAAACGGAAACTGTACAGGAGCCAACGCCATCGATCTTTAATTGTGCGCGAGGAACACGCTGTATTAGAAATACTGTCTTAATAATTGATTAGATATATGTATTCCATTCAAATATTTTATAAATAAATACGAAATATTTCCACGGAAACCGAAACAAAAACATAGATTAACATCAATGTAATTATACGAAAAAATAATCCTACCTTGATAGCTTGATACTCATGCAATATCATGCAATCAAGGGAAATGCGGACGCAATGTAGGGACACTGGCAAGCTACAATCCGTAAGGGAAGTTATTCTGTGTTGAAAAATATGGAATAAACGCACGGGCATATTGTTTCTACATGCTGGCGTTGAAAAGCGATGTCTCCCTTACCATTGTTCGAAAAATGGTGCGGTGTTTTCGTCTGGCTATTTGCACATAATCGTGATTCGGGTTGCATCACGCCTTTGTTCTACAGTGGCAGTTCGTTGTAACCAGTGGGCTCTAGCAATTTTTATGTCAGATAAACTTTCTTATAAGGTCTAATTAAGGAGGAAGAATTCCTAAAAATAATTTAACTAATAAGGAAAAATGTACGCATTACAGTGTCTCTAAAACCATGTTTTTTTCGTCAAACACAATCAACACACGTCCACAAAATACTTTAACTTAATTTTCAAATGAACTTCCTAACGGTGGCGTCATAAAAACCATTTAAACGAGTTCACTCTAAAACTAAGTTGTCTTTATACATTATTCGCGTTTTACGTTTTTTTTAAACTCAAAATATTCGGTTGGTCACTACATACAACTGAAAATATATACATTCTTAATTAGACAATTTTGGACATGCTAGTAATAGCATGTCCAAAATTAAAAACAGTAATGTTTTCTGAGGTAGTGTACGATCCTACGCTCGTTTGGCGGTTCGTGGTATAATCCAAGGGGTATCGCTGGTAAGTATTTATGGGGTGTACAAATAACTAGCGGGTTCCGCAAAAAGTAAGGTGTTTATGGTGAATCTTTTATTCACTTGGGATTCATGACGAAGTTTGGTTTCATCGTTATGCATACATCCTTAGAACGCAGCATATTTTACATTCTAAAGGGGAATGTTTTTTTTTTAAAAGAACGTCTGTTATATTTGCTGTGCGGTACAATCCACAGATTAATATCATCACACCTTTCCCTGTAAAATGAGTCATGTTGTCGAGTCGTGTGACTCAACGCTGTCCCCTCCCGCTCGGACGCGAAAATTATCGTCCGACTGGCGAATACATTAAGCTCGTCCGTTCGCTTTTCGCGTCACTACATACGGGTTCATTAAATGCAAATGGGAATGTTTCTGTCGTTATTTCCCCTGCGTTTGTCTCTCCACACTCCCAGGAAGGCCTTTATATCGGTGCCCATTAAGTCCTTAAGGACAAACTAACTGTTTCTTTGTTGATGTTTACATTTTTATAAAGTTTTATAGGGTACAGGGTGTGGACAGGTGAGGTTTCCACGAGTTTGATAGGCCATTCCTAAGTAGAGTCAATCATGTATATTTGCGTGCATCAAACACATTCTTTTTACACAACGTTCTCTAGTCCCAAACTAAGCAAAGCTTGTACTATGGGTGCTAGAAAACTGATAGACATACTTAAACATACTTTTCTTTATTAAATAAATACACATTATACATATATAAACACCCAGACACTATGCTCATCACACAATATTTTTCCAGCAGTGGGGATCGAACCCACACCCTCTGGCGCAGAAGGCAGGTACACTACCGACTACGCCATTCGGGTCGTCAACAAATGTGATATGTTATTCGTTCGTTAGTGAATGCGAGTCAGCCCAGAGTGGCGGTGAGAATCACTTCCGTACGCTAAAATTCTAACAACAACAAAAATTCTGCGTGCGTGCGTGAGGTACCTACATTATTGTAAGAACGTGTAAAAATTAATTAATTTATCTAGTCCAGTCTTAAATCCGGTGAATTATAATATACTAGCTTTTCGCCCACGGCTTCGCTCGCGTTGGAGCCCTTAAATAAATATCTTTCAACCCATTACAAAACTTTTTTCCAATTAAAAACCTATGTCCGTTCTCAGGCTCTAGACTATTTATGTACCAAATTTCATTTAAATCGGTTCAGTACTTTGGAGTGAAAGCGAGACAGACAGACAGAGTTACGGTCGTATTTATAACATAGTATAGTATGGAAGTATGGATTAAAGCCTCATCCTGCTATGAAGTCGCTCCTTGATCAAAGCAGCCATCGATATTGATATGCACCTAATTTGTACTGCTACAGAGGACTGGCCGCTCAGATTGAAGGTCAAAATCACTAGAAAAACTAAACGATAAGTTTTAATAGCATATGAATCTATGTTTTAGTAATTTTTAGCTTCCTTTAGAAAAATAACTTTCTTAAATTTGTCCTGTATGTAAATTTTTTAGATCCTCAAACACACTGATGACTCCGTGGCGCAGTTTCCAAGGTATTGGCTTCAGCGTCCGGAGTCGATTCCCACACGGGACAACTGTTTGTGTGACCCACAGATAGTTGTTTCGCATCTGGGTGTTTGTCCGTGTGAAATTTATGTTTGTACAACGTCCTTACAACACAGGATAATGTTATCCTAAAGAAAGAGCAATGTAAAAAAATAAATAAAAAAAAGATTTTCTTTGATTGATGACTTTAACTCCTACATTTGATTGAGTTTGCACAAACCCCATTTTTATTTTTCCCATTTTGATTATGGCCAGCTCGATCGGGAAAAGAAAAATAAGGTTTAAGATTTTAACTGACATTTTTTCTACTTATTTATTTTATTATATGCGAAACATTCTAGTTTAAATTATTTTTAGATTATTAATTAAAGTCGTTGTTATTAAAAATATGTTTAGCCAATTTTAATTATTACATATATTTGTGCGAAATTTAAGACGTAAGCGATTAAGAAGACGCTTTTCTTTAGCTAGATGAAGCCATACTCTGAGCTTGGCGGGTTTAAGGTTGCCAACTGTTTTTGAGAAAAATAACGTAGCACATTTTGAGAGTGTGGAAAATAAAACATTTGAAAGAAGTATTTTTAATTATTTCTTATCTTGAAGACTTATTTTTATGTGCTTCTAGCGCATTGACAGTTTTTCATAATCCTTATAAGAAAGAGTATTTAAGGATAATGAAAAAATTACCAACACCAGTGTAGCAACAAACACATTAGTTCGCCAACGTTTCCGAGCACGGCGAGACCAACACAACGCATACACAAGGTACACCCGCGTTCCAGGGCGGTTCTCACCGCCCCCAGCCACCGATTAGCTAAAAACACAGTCGACGGCCATCGGGGTCTTGGTCCGCACCGCAACCTCGATGGCCCTTAGATGACATGTCGTAGTTAAACGCACGCATGAGCACATGCGCGGCCCTACCCACAGCGGAGGGCCCAAACCCGTGGGTTCTGGCTAGCCCACCGGTTTTGCGTCAGATGAAGCTTTAATAGTCTCGGGACTGAAAGCACAAACATAATACAAGACAAGGATAATAAAAAAACTTTTCACACACTTGATTGTTATGCAAAAATATTAAGTATCTTTGCCAAAAATAGAGTAGGATACGCTATTATGGAGTATGGTTGGCAACCCTAGTCGGGTGGTATCATATGGCCTGAAGGTTGAACTTATAGCGCTTGAGTTGAAGCCTAAGTCTAATAATGTAAATTATACCACTCTTTTAACGATGCCTTTTTTAATAAAATAAGTTTTTTTCTACTGAACATCTAAGCGTACCGACAGTTTTAATTATTAGTTTATTTTTTGTCTACTCTCAAGAGCAACAACATATGTATGACATTTGAAATGTTTTACTTGAATTGATTAATTGAATGAGACATTGACATTGGAAGAAAGGTTTTAATTTCAATCTACAGTTCAGTATACATTTCAGTATATTTCTATGATTCGTTTAGCTTTATTTTATTACCTATTATTTACTTAATACTGAAATTTAAACGGCCGAGTACTAACAAACGTTGTTAATATCTACTTTACTACCCAACCGCAACTTTGGAGGAAGTGAGTTCGATAAGATAACGTTGTTTGATGTTTGTGCAAGTATTAAAACGACGAGATAGTTAATTTTTTAAAAACATCATTTTATTGTAATTAATTTTAGTTTTTATTAACATTTATGTTTCAACCAACATAATCAAGCCGAATCAGTTGGGTGCATTAGGTGAACTTTTGCTGATGTATCTTCTTTTGTATAAAGAAAATAAAACTAATATCATAAACTGACTTCAGAGTACATATATGGCGGGAAAACAGAAAATGTAATTGTTTTTTATTTTTTCATGGTAAAGCCCGTGTTATTAAAAAAAATATTCGAACGATTTATTGATGGTTTTTAAATTTATTAATATAAATGTATTCATTGAATGTTCCTCTCCCATAATAAACTGCGTGACTTTTATGAACTTGTGAATAATTCTAGTGTTTATGAAAGTGTATTTATATACCAGCTGTTTTTAACTCCGTGTTGCAATTGCCACCAGCGCGACCTTACGAAATATAATATTCCGTTTACCGTCGAAATAGGTCAAGCTGCTCTTGGAGCTTGAAGAAGATTTTTTATACTTCTCTTTCTATGAGTTTGTGTTATTAAAGATCAAACAAAATTGTTTGATTATTTCTGATCAGCCTAACTAATGGATAGAGTTATAACATCCTCGTTAGCTTTAATACAGCGTTTATGTGAAATTTTTGAGGTGCTATTAAAATTTTTACCTATCATTGCTTTAAATGATGAACAAAAAGGTATCTAAAATTTTAGTTCTTAGATTTAATAATTAATAGTTATTAGTTTCATGTTTATCGTTTATTACATTTTAAGTGATGCATACACGTTCAATATTTCTAGTGCTAAGTCAGTACTTTCACTTATCGTATACAGTATTCGTATACACAGACTGTATCAGTATACAGTCTGTGTATACGAATCAATCTAATACGAAAAAATCTAATACATTTCGTTTACTAGTTATTAACTTTTTCAGTTATACTAAAAAGACCTCAAATGCATTTAATAATTTGGCATCTAGGACTTGAAGCCGTATCTAATTTTCAACCGAGTCATAATTATTACAAATGTTATCTTTCTATGAAAAAAAAAAATCTATTAATCGCAACGTAAAAAATAATTTTAAAACTAAATTCAGGCAACGTCGTTTATTTTGTTTTTAGATAAATAACTGAATGATATATGGAGTGTTTGTGTAAAAATAAAACACGTTTGTTCTTTGAGGCTTACATTTTTATTCGTAACAATATAGTGGCAATACCATTCAGTCTTAAAATATTACATAAATAAATACTTACATGGATAGTTTTAAAATTAACGCCTAAATAATAATTTAATAAATTGAAAATTCGAATCGTAAATTTATTTTATAATTACTTAATGTCACGTTATAAGTTTAAGTTCAATGCTGTACCTTAGAGGCATACAGTAGTAATTCAAAAATTTTTCAAAATTATTTTTTTTGCATTAAAATCGCAAGAACAAATTCTACAGAATAGTATAAAGCATTAAGTCCTACGACGTGGGACGCATAATTAATAAACTTTCCAATCGTATATATGACATCATAATCCATAAATCATTCAAGGATTAACTCGTGCATTTTTGTCTCTCCTGTAAAATTTGTGCTTTGTTACATAATGCTGTTTACCTCTGAGATACAGTGGATCAGGTAAAACATATCGTAATTATTTAACGTTATTTACGATAAAGCATTAAGATCGCATGCATATATATTTACTTTGTATTATTAGTTCCTGTACAAATGCATTGATTGTTGGTTGATTGTTTTGATGCAGATTAAAATTTGGTGTATTTGTTTAAATAAACTAACTAAGTAAACCGTTAACTTTTAATACCAGATTTGAAATCATTTAAAGTCTTCCGTACATTATCGAAAAAAATAATAATTTGAGGAAATGTCAGAAAATAATAGGACTGTATACTTCTGTTTCTTCGTGAACAATATTTTGTTTGTTTTTTTAAATAACACATTTATTTGATGTGTTTGTGATCTTATAGTGTCAACCCTGGACGTAGTTTATTTTTCGTCTGTGCCTAATGTTGTGCTCAAAGTTGGAAAGTTGATCGTGGATGGGGATGGATGGTCCATCAAGACGTCTCTGCGAAGCATCTGTGAAGCAGTTTTTTGAAAATTGAATCATTCCTCCCGTGTCCGTGATAACAAAAACAACAGTGACAAAATAATAATATCATCAACCTGCCTTTATATGGGATGAGGTGGGACGTCACAACATGTGAAACATGTTGTAAGCTATTGTAAGTAGATAAATAGGTTTTGGCTGTAATAAATATATAAATAATAAATATTTCGGACACATTTTTTACACAACGTTCTCTAGTCCCAAACTAAGCAACGCTTGTATTATTTTTAGATGTTGTGCTATGTATACAGCGTGTCGTTACCATCGCGACAATTAATGAACACACATATAGGGGAAAACTTTTTAAAGTTGTATTAAACATTTAAATTCTTTAAACATCAATATTTACAAAGTTATAAAATTTTCCAAAACAAAGAACTTTAGAACACCCTTACCTATAAAAGCGTAACGTAAAGTTCATTTGTAAAGGTCACAAAGCATATGAATGGGTTGAATGAATTTAAAAGAGACAAAACATACTGTTAAAAGGAGAGGCTTGTAATACGACGCTGTGGCGCGAGTTGTATAGGATGTTACAAATTTTGTTTCTTTGCTACTTAATAAGTTTGTTTGAAAAATTTTTTTTTAAATTATGGACTTTGTTTAACGTTAATATTTTTTCATGATTATTGGCAAGTAGCGTTAGACGTGTCTTCATTTATTGTCGCGATGGTAACGACGCGCTGTATATTTTTACAAACGGCCGCCTGCGTGACATCAACCCTCTTTTGAAAACAAGCACCCAGATCCGGAACAGTTATCTTTGGGTCACAAATATTTGTTCCGTTCGGGAATCGAACTCACGACTATCAAAATGCTTTGATAATAAGCTCCTTAAAAGCTGTATCGTATATATGATCGCTTACCAGTGTTTGTTTGTCCAAAAGAGAACCCTTTTGGTGGGAGCACCACGGAGGGTGCTGGTCCTTCGACCCCAGTGGGAACTTCTAGATCCTTCTCAGAGTCTATCACGTGAAAGCTGGAAAGGTTGGGGTTATCGACCTTTGCCCTTACTCCCTCGTTGACGTAATGATCTTGGGATTCCTTTGCGGGTTCTTCTAGAAGTTTCTCCTTCATTTTACCAAAGGGGTTTTGGTTTAGAAATGTGTCTTCTACGTATGATTGGTTGATGTCGTGATTATTTGTATAAATTGAGTTTTCCCTCAGTAATCCGCCAGCTTTTAGATTGGATTCTTTAGTAGTTGATCGTTGTGAATCTTGGATTGATTCCTTTGCGGTGGCATTGGTACCGTTGTCATTAATATTGTTTTCGCTTATAGCACCCTTCTTCCTCGTGAGATTCTCGAAGATTGGGTCCTCCAACGGGGTGCCCTCCGGTATGTCCTCGAAGGAGAAATCCTCGGTGATGAGGATTTCGCCGGTCTCTACGGACTTGGCCTTGTTGAACAAGTTTTCCTTGGCTAGGTAGGAGTCGGCGCTGTGGGAAATGCGCGCTGGACAGTCCTCCGGGATTGTGTACATCTGGATGAAATAATATAGTAGTTACATGTTTACTGAGTGACCAGTGCGAAATTATTATAATGTGTCCAGTCGCTGTATGGTAACATGTTGCTAAGTATTTATTGTAACGTCAATAGATGGCGCTATCGCACATTTGTCATAAATTTTCAAAGGGATTTGTTTACATGAAAATACAAACGCAACTTTTCGCGGTGGGCTAAAATGGTGTTTCAAAGACAGAAACGTGAATTTTAAAGGTCCTTTGTTACTAACTAATATGGACTATGGTATAAGAATATTGCAACTTACACTTAGTAATTTGACTCATATTTGTTGTGTTTAAGCATTAAGATGATTCATCAGCATAATTTTATTTTAACTTTGTCTATTTAAAAAAAAAAAAAAGATCAGCAAGTGGTGCCGCAATATAAAATGTGTTAAAATTACAAATAGTTAAATTGTACTACACCTGGGTGCAAATATAAACAAATTGATCTTAAAAAATCACAGCTCTATATTTGTACACGCAACTGCCTCATACGACATTTTATCGCACAGTAATGATCAGTCCAATAAAAATGAAGTTTTTATGTCCTTGAAATGCTATTAATTGTGATATGAACGGGCAGGTCCGTCAGGGTAAGTACCACGACCTCGCAGAAGACCGGCGTAAAGTGGAAGTGTTACACTTCTGCGTTTCGTCTGGTTAGTGAGGTAGCCGGGGCCCACTTTATTGAAGGGTGGCAAGGCATTTACAACGGTACAGATGTTGCAAATGTCAAAGTATCAATAAAAAAGGTGATTTAAGGCCCATTTACACGGTGCCAGTTTCTTGCCTGTTGTATACAATTAAATTGAAGCAATAAATAAGTTGCATGGTCTAAACAACAAATGGTCTAACCAATTATTGCGCGCAATTTATTGCATTCAATTATTGCTCTTGCATGTACAAGAAAATGGCATCGTGTAAATGGGCCTTTACAGCCCACCGTGCGCCACCTAACCCTTCCTTTTTTCACTTCAAACAAGGTTCTCAATTCGACTGTTGTTTTTTATGTTTGTTACCTCAGAACTTTCTACTGAGTGAATCGATTTCGATAATTCTTTTTTTCATTTGAAAGCTGGCGCTTCCCATGTGGTCCCGTATTAATTTTATCGGTATCGGATCTTGGGCTCCGGAGATACTTAACTCCCGAGAATCAATTATAAAATGAATACAGAGCGAGATATTTCATTATATTACATACTTTGATTTTCGTTAGTAAAAAATTTTTGGCGTGCCCTTGGGAAGGCCTATGTCCGGCATTGGGCTGCAAAAGGCTGATTGGAATAAAAGAAATTGACTGGCTGTCCCTTGGGGCACACCCGCCCCTCACCTGGACGCTCTTCACCGAGGGCCGGTAGTAGTCGAAGAGCTTCACGTGCGCCGGCCTCGTGGCGGCCTGCGGGCCCACCGCGTGCACGGAGAAGCACCGGTGCGCCGCCCCCTCCCCCGCACCACCACCACCACCACCGCCGCCACCACCACCCGCTAAGTACAGCGCCACCTGCCCGCCGCGCGTCGACATCTCGATGCGCCGCAGCACTGTTCACATATTTATATATATACTAGCTGACCCGGCAAACGTTGTTTTGCCATATAAATTATTTGTAGGGTAGAAAAAAATGTTTGGTGTGGACCACCCTTAAAATTTTGGGGGATGAAAAATAGATGCTGTCCGATCCTCCACCCTGGCCGGTATGCACACAAAATTTCACGAGAATCGGTCGAGCCGTTTCGGAGGAGTTCAATTACAAACACCGTGACACGAGAATTTTATATATTAGATTCTCGTGCCACAATGTTATTTGCCGTCTTCCGAAGCGGTTTTATAGATTTTTTATGAAATTTTATATGTATACTAGCGGACTGGGCGTACGTTGTCCTGTACATACGGCTTAAATCCGATAGCAACTTATAAATTAAAAAAAAAAACAAATAAAAGAATTGTGAATCTAAACCGGGCGCCACCCAAAGGCATACAAAAAATCATTCAAATCGGTCCAGCCGTTTAGAAGTTCAGTGACAACACACGTACAGTAGAATTATATACAGGATGGCTTTTCTAAAGGTGCCCAAATTCATACAGGAGGTTCAGACTCGGTAGTATAATCGTTTATTGAAATAAAAACAAACTTTAAAAAAAAAAAAAAATTGCCATTCCCTTCATCATTGTCATTCATAAATACCTAAATTTTACTGTTCATGTTAGTTATGAATGATCGTGCGTAAAATAAATGAATTGCGTATAAATCACGCACTATTTATGACAAGTTTAAATTAATGTGATGAAATACTTACGAGTGATTTAAAATATTTATAATTTTTTAAATAACATTATGTCTAGAATTTAATTAAACAAAATTGATAGGTACACTTAGTAAAGCCTCCCTGTATAGATATTTTTTCTTCACGCCCCGTTGTCCCAAAAAAAGGTATGTCAAGTATTAAATATTTGACACCTACAGACTGTGTGGCGCTTGGGAAAAATAGTAATCGAATTAAAAAATCAGTATCCGATTTTGATACGATTTCGATACTGAATATTTTTTATCGATATATCGGCTAAAATATCGATATATAGAATCAAACATCGATATATCGATATTTTTTCGACATAGTATATGTTCAATTTTTCGTAACTAATTTTTAAACGAATCTTTTTTTTATGAAATATATATTTGTTTATTTCTCGTCAATGGCGACAAACGTAAGACGTTAAGTATAAAAACGTTGTTTAAATTATTCAACTTGACGACGCTTTTTTAAGTTAAATTTTATTTTTTTACCTACTAAACAACTTTTCAGGCGAATTCATAAATAATGCGCACATTCGTGATTTGCAATCACTATACATAGCAGTAGCACCATACCAATCTTAGTGGGGGATATCAGACATCAATTAACCAGTTACATACGTTTACGTGTCAAAGCGAATCTTTAATTCAATATACTCGAGCAACCTGAGTTCGATCCCCAGTGCCGGCACCAATTAAGTTTTTAACTTTAAGTGCTGATTTATCACGTGCTCCGTGGTGAAGGAAAACATCGTGAGGAAACCTGCATATTTTCGAAATAATAACAAAAAATATTTCGAAGATATGTGAAGTCCGCCAATCCGCAGTGGGGCCGCGTGGTGGACTATGCCCTGATACCCTCTGTATAGAGGAGGCCTTTGCCCAGCAGTGGGACATGTATAGGCTGTTACTTTTTATAGGATTAAAAGTCCTGTCACATATCACAGTAGATCGTTGTCACCGAGTGCCACTGGTGGACGAGTCTATGTAGTCGACAAGTTACATACATACATAGATATCTGTGGGTCACACAAACAGTTGTCCGGTGTGGGAATCGAACCGCGCCGCGGAGTAATTTTTAAAGTGAGGCCGAGTGAGGCCGAGGCTTAACCGCTGATGGGGCTTACGCGTGTCCCTTTCCCTCAGCTGCGAATAGAGCAGGGCGGCATCAGCTCCGAAGCCTCCCGGCAGGGAGATCTCGAGCAGCGCCATCTCGGGGAAGCTGCCGGTCCACACTACGCAAGCCTGTGAGAATTGGGCGATATTTAAATAAATGGAATTATAGAATTAGCATTTAAACAGACTCTACTTGGAAGATTAAAATTTAACGTGGATTATTTTGAAAACATTCCGTACCCAAAGGTTTTTCAGTATTTTCTGTTATAGCGACAACAGAAATGGATCATCTGTGAAAACATCAACTGTCTAATTATCACTTTTCATGATATACAGCCTGGTGAAAGACGGACAAACAGCGGGGTCTCAGCAATAGAGGGCCCCGTTTTACCCTTTGGGTACGGAACCCTAAAACACCCCTGCCACTCCCGCTATTTAATGGCAGGGGATCCACATAGCACTCCACCCTCGTTGAAAAAGTCATCACCTCGATGACGGCGGCGCAGAAGCAGGCGGTGCCGTTGGCGCAGTCGAACGCGCCGTCCGTGCGCACGGAGACCTGCGCGGTCAGTGACCTCGCGCCCGGCCCCTCGCCCCCCTCCACCCCCGCCCCCTCTGCGGAGAGGGTGCGGTAGGAGCGCGTGGCCTGCACGAGCCCGCAGCCGCTGCCTGTGGACGGATAAGGTTGACGCTCCCACGGCCCAAGACCCGTCATGAACTAGCTCCAATCGTACCATGTATTATAGTACGGGTGGCAACCCTAATCTAGTATAATATACTATGTATTATAGCACACTAGCTACAGTGGTACTACATGGCAACCCTATACTATAATATACTATCTAAGCACATGTGCCAACCCTATCTCGATCCCATTCCCATCCAAAACCTTTCGTACTGTATTTTAGACAATTGTACAACTCAATACAGAAAAATATTATAGTAAGAAATGTACTATTGTTTTCACTGCCATTCAATTAAATTTTCTTAATTTTTCTGTAAACTGGAGCTTTTGTAAACTTTAACTAGTAATATTCACTGCGTAGCGTGGGAAATTTCAGATGGAAATAACGATACATCTTTTTTCCTCAACTAAATATATAGTAAAATTATGGATTTTGGTGTTGAATACATCGCCCCATGAACGAGTTACTTACTCTATGGAGCCTAGTAACTAGCGTTGCAAGATCTATTGTCACCTGTGGTAGGGCCACGCCACAGCTTCGGGTGTTGCACGAATGGGCAGGTCCGTCCTGGTTAGCACCACGCCCATACAGAAGACCAGCGTGAAGTGGAAATGTTACCCTTTTGCGTTTCGTCTGGTGAGTGAGGTAGTCGGGGCCCATTTTAAAGGGCAACGCATTTGAAACCGTACGGTTGTTGCAAATTCCCATGGGTGGCGGTTGCCACTTGACACCGGGTGAAAGTTCGCTACCGTCTCACATAAAAAAATATCCGTTTTAAATATGTACTTTAACTTCCAATGAGATATACCGGTTTCGAAAGGGTAGAGGACTTGGTCGGACGAGCCTGCCCATTCGTGCAACAGCATAAGCCGCCACGTGGCACCAATAGCTAGCGGCAAACCTTCGCCAGCCTGCCCACCCGTGCAACGAAAGCCCTTGTACCGTGTGGTAGGGCTTTTTTTGCACGAAAATCCCTAACACCAAACCGACAAACAGCAAACCTTGAACGGAGACGGTAAGCTGGTCGCTGGTCGCCAACTTGAGGACGTTCGGCACCTTGGCGCCCGGGAGTACTGCGACGCTGTCGGTGCGCCGTCCGCTGGCCACCGTCACCGTCAGGTCGGCTGGCGGGGCCGGCTGCAGCGAGGACCACGCGCTCAGCGCCTCCATGGCCACCAGCGTGTCCTAGGTAGGGATGGGCCGGATGGTACACCGCGTCTTTCACGTTTACGACGGAGATCCTCAAGTGGGTTGGAATGTGCAGCGTTCAAAAAACAATGGTGGAGAGGTGGAGTCTCTCCGCGCGGAAGTGATACTTCGAGTGCCACGCATTCTCTCTCGCTCTGTCTCTTTCTATTCCCCCTCCCCGGGAGCGTTGAACGTTTAACGCAACGGTGCTTTCACACCCCCTCCATGGCCGGCTGATTGTTCGGTCTTATTATTAAGTGAACATCATCATCATCAGCCCACCCGTGTGTCGGCGCAACCGGCCTGACGTCAACCCTTCTCGGGTATCGAACACCCAGATCCGGAACAGTTGCCTGTGACTGGCTGAGCCAGTAGATGTAGCGCAGCCGTACCTGCGTGGCCACGAAGCCGCCCGTGGGCCCGCGGTGCGCCGCGAGCCAGCGCGTCGCAGCCCGCGCGTCCGCTGTACAGCTGGCTCGCAGCGGGGCGGGACACTGGGCCAGGGACAGCACGCCGTACGCGGTCGCCTCTATCGACGTGGCGAGGCTGCCTGCGTGTTCGAATGTCCATCGTTAGTGATGTACTGTGATATGTCGACGATAAATGACTAAAATAAATCTTTGTTTTCCTTACATATTTTGACACAATGTTATCGAGTCCCGAATTAAAGCTATGTCGGTTCGTCACTGATAAACATAGTTAACATATATTCCTTTTTGTAAATAAATAAATATTATAGGTACACTAGCGGACCTTACTCTGTGTTCTGCAAACGACTTAAATCCGACAAAAATGTATAAACAAAAAAATTAAAAGAAAAATTTTATAGTGAGCCTAGTTGTAAATCTAAACCATTTCCGAATCTACCTGAAGACACAGAAATTTATTAATATCGGTCCAGCCCTTTATTATATATATAAAGAAGAAGAATTATATATATATCCAACCCTTTAGGAGTTCAGTGATATACACACGTACATAAGAATTATATATATAAAGACAAACACCCAGGCACTAAAAAGTAACCATATGTTCATCACCAAATTTTTTTTCAGGGGTGGGTATCGAACCCACACTTAGTAAGAAACAGGTGTAGTGAATAGTTCATATTTACTACACCGATCGAGTCGTGAAACAATTACATTGATCGATATTATCGTTAAAGGCTGACATGAAATAACACGAGTGTTAAATTAATAGCCATGAATTTTGAATCGTTGATATCTGTCACTATTCGCTTGTTACAATTCGTAGTGATGTACATAATATCGACTGTTTAGTAGAAATAATGTGATTTTTACAGTCAATATTGAAACAAATAAAATAATTAGTATCGTTATCGATATTTTATTTCCATTACAGTGGCTACTGAGCCACGCTAACAATATTATAAGTGAATACATACTTGTTGATATCAAGTTGAAAGCAAGGGATATATTAAGACGGTAGGTCCCAACAGAAATGTTAGTGTTGCGGTAAGGTTTGTCGGTATCGATTGATCGTTACTAAATAATTGAGAGCTTAAATAGAAAACTGGACTATATCTCTATTTATATCACAAACGATGACACCGTTGCGCAGTCGCCTAGGTATTGGCTTCGGCGTCGGGGGTCGTGGGTTCGATTCCCACACGGGAAAATATTTGCGTGACCCACAGATATAGTTGTTTCACGTCTAGGTATCTAAGATACCGTAAAGTAATGCAACGTTTAAAAAAAAAAACTTGTAGGTTTTTGGTCGGCTTACTGCTCTCCCAGTAGACGTAGTCGCGGCTCCTCTTGGCCAGCTTGAGGAACTGCAGCAGCTCGCGCGTCTCCTCGTCGCCCCTCAATGCGGGGCCGCTCGGCTCCCTCCGGTCGAGGAGGTAGGCCTCGTTGCTCCCCCTCAGCCCCTCCTCGTGCCTGCGCAGCCTGACGAAGGCGTACGCCAGCAGCGAGTGGGCGTACACCCCCGGGTGGGTCTTCGACTTTTTCAGGGGCAGAGCCCTGAGGCAGGAGAGGGAGTTCCGTATGGCCCCGAGGGGCGGGTTGGCCGAGCCCTCCACGAGGGATGTTATCACGTACGCTGTTAGGGCCACGCTCGCGACTTCGCCTTCCTCGTTTAAGCCGCCCTGTCGAACATTTGTTATTAATTCGTTCGTTTGATGGCTACGAAATTGGGTTGTCTGAATGATCACAGAAGTGGAGACAACATAGCTTTGTGCGAGATTTTACGGTGGTAGGGCCACGCAGCAGCCTCGGCGGTTGCACGAATGGGCAGGCCCGTCCGGGTAAGTACCGGCGTAAAGTGGAAGTATGACAAATACTTTCGCGTTTCGTCTGGTGAGTGAGGTAGCCGGAGCCCAATTTTCAAAAGGTTGTCAACGCATCTGTAACCCTCGAGTGTAGCAGATGTCCATGGACGGCGGTATTCACTCACCATCAGGTGAACCGTCTGCTCGTTTGGCAACTTTTCACATAAAAAAAAAGAGATAGACCCCGAGCGGCAGGCAAGAGGGTTGTCCGTCGCTTAGTACGGGTCTCGTGCCTCTCTGTGCCAATTGCACCGGTACGGCACCAGTTAGTATCGGAGGCCCAAAAAGGCCAAAGTAGTAAAAAAAAAGATTGCGTCTTCATGTTCCCGTGTTCCCGGGATACATACCCCACCACTCCTCCATTCAGTGGCAGGTGATCCATAAAAGATTTTAATGCGGTTTTCGGCAATAGATAGAGTGATTCAAGAGGAAGGTTTATATGCACCCTTGTAGAGCCGGGGAGTATCGCTAATATTTATGTATAACATTATTGGACAGTATGATATAACTCATGGGGCACCTTCAGCTCCCTGTGGAAGACTTGACCCTCGTTCCTGAAGCAGCCGTTCTCCATCTGTTGCGCCAGGAGCCAGCGCTCCGCCCTCTCGATGGCCGGTGGAGTCTTCGAGCCGGGCGAAATCACCTGGCGTTAGAGTGGAAAGTAACCTATACATATCCCACTGCTGGGCAAAGGCCTCCTCTGTACAGAGGGTATCAAGGCATAGTCCACCACGCGGCCCCACTGCGGATTGGCGGGCTATATAGGGCCTTAATTTTGGAAATATTTTTTTTTGTTATTATTTTAAATCGTTTCCTCACGATGTTTTCCTTCACCATAAAGCACGTGATAGTTCAGCACTTAAAATTAACAATTTCATATTGAGCTCGGGTTTTTCGAGTAAATTGAATTAAAGCGAGCAACGGAAAATTAGCTGTTGCGGCTGACGTTAGGACACTCGTCAAATGATTGAGTACAGTTGAGTTCAACGGTGTTTAAGCGACAGACCACGAGAGCAGGGTCAGTTGATGGCACTGTCACTATTCTAGATTTGACAGATGCTGGGATTCTGACAGTGACAGCACTGCTTGAGGCATGCTTTGACAATGTAATATCATATGGCCATATCAAAACAACGCCACTCATCTCGCGATAGTAATAACTGTTAGGCAAAGCAGTAACATATTTTTCCCAAAATCTTTGACTGTCTCATTGATGTATCATGTAAATGCCTTCATCCGATGTTCGTAAGTGATTCATGTACACACCTCCCTCTGCTCTCTTCTTTATGTCTCATTAGCAAATATTCTTTTCGCAATGGTTGTCTGGAAGAAATCGCTTTCTGAGCGATAAGACCGCCTTTTGTACTTCCTTTTATATTCATTTGTAATTTGGTTTTATATATTTTTATTTTTGGTGTACAATAAAGTGTAAATAAATAAATAATAAATAAATAACAATCCGAGTGGACTGGCAGTAGCTTTAACAGTTTGTTTTGAATATTGCGGGGGATTCGAACCTGGTACGCCGCCCTTAGGTACCGCAGGCAGAAGGCAGTCAGCCAGGTGGAGGGGGAATCGTCCGCGGCGCCGAAAGCGCTGAATCCGCCCGACGGGTGGGAGTACTGCAGCTGCCTCGCGAATCCTGCAATACAAACAATTCATACTATCTTCTCTTCTTTTCTACAAACAGAGGAACTGTCGAAGCACATTCGCTTTTTAGTTTTCTCCCTCAAAAAGACAGTGGTGGTACAGTCATCTCCAGATCCCCAGAAGGGTTAGAATCGACGTGTTTCGAGAACCTTTCCCTCAGTTTAGATTTATTGAAAACGCTGGCACTAATATCAATGCCTGAAGTTTAATCTCATGAGCATAACCTAGCCATAGCCAGGTTAAGGCATACGCTTTCGTCCGGTCCAGGTTACACTTGGCATTACTTCTTTGTAAGAGAAAATCAGCTCCCTCTTTACTCCTGACAATTTTTCCTATGCCACGAAACAGTGGTATTACTTCTTCCAAAACGAAAATGGTTGTCTTCTTTACCATTAAACCCCATACAGTATCAGCACGGGCATTGAAGTGTCGATAATATCGAAGCACATTAATATACTTATTGTATGCCTGCGCGGATACACTTGCTGTTTCTGAGCTGTTTCTTCGTGTGCGTTTTTGTTCGTCTACGCGTTATTCACGCGTGCAAGTGCGGCGCGGATACGCCTACGCGTCTTTGTGTGTTGTGAGCTATCTTACTTAGTGTGCGAGTGTTTGTTCGCATACGCATGGCTGAGTGCGGGTGTGTGCGCTTGGATACACCTGCGCATCTCTGCGTGTTGAGCTAACTTCGTACGCGTGTGCGTATGTTTGTATACGGTATACGCATGCGTTAGTGCATGTGAGTGTGACGCGGATGTGGCTACGGGTTTCTGTGTGTGTGAGCCATCTTACTTCGAGTGCGTGTGCCTGTGTCTGTTCGCATATATCGTGCGCGCTCGGATACGCATGCGCGTCTGTGTGTGTGAGCTATATTGTTCCCTGTGCTCGTGTTCGTGTGCTTGCGCACCCCTGTGTGCGTGGCGCAGCGCGGCGGCCGCGGCCGGCGCCCTGGGGTCGAGCAGCCGCAGCGCCAGCAGGTTGGTGGCCAGCCGCGCCATGTTCTGCTCGCCGCAGCCGCGCGGCAAGCTCACCAACGCGTCCGCGTCCTGTGCACCGACCAATTTTATGTGACAAAGTGGCTAACCAGCTGCCGGTTCACCCGACGTTAACTGATCACCGCCTGTCGCGGGACATTTGCAACGCCCGTAGGGTTTCGGCTGCGCTGGCCAGCGCTTAATAAAACGGGATCCGGCTACTTCACTGACCGGACGAAGGGTAAAAGTGTAACTTCTGTGAGGTCATGGTACTTCCCCTGACGGGCCTGCCCATACGTGTAATAGCGAAGACTGTCGCGTGTCCCTACCACATTCTCAATTCTCCTCTATCGACCGTTAATTCAAATGTCTTAATTCAATATAAAGGTAATGTAAAACACTACATATTAATTGTCAAAATATTACTAACTTTTGACAATTGCTACTGTTTTACCTAAATCGGCTTTTTACTCAACAACCGTACGTATGTATCGTGTTGAAGTTTGTTTATATATAATTTTTTTTCCCTTCCAAAAATAAAAACTTAATTGATGGTAATTCTTTGCACATTAACGTTGTGTTTGTTCATAAATCGGTTAAAATTTTGATACGTTTAGACCCATCATATTTGTGATGGACAAACAATCCATCCGCATTTGATAACGCTTGCTAATAATGTCTAATGATAAACAATGAAAATGCTAATAAGCCCTACAAATACAACCGCTTACTAAGAAGCGTGTTCACATAAGCATACCATCGTACACTACAGGTTAGCGTATGCTCAAATCTAGCATGTTTCTGCGCACCACGTGAACACTTTAACATTAAAGAGGATACCTACGGAGTTTCTTTCGCTAGAGGAACCTAATTGCGAAACGGTGGTAGATTTAAAAAAATATGACTATCGATAGATGTAATCTAAGTTCCTGATGTTGATGAATAAATGATTTTTTTATTTCTTAAATACAAAGAAGTGATTTCTATCGACTTACGGCCAGCAAAGGTCCAACGGCGTCGCCCACCGCCCAAACGGTGACCAGCTCCGTCCCGGGCACGGCCGCCAGAGGGCGCCACGACCAGGTCACGTTCGACGCCACCGGCTCGGAGCTGCCTGGTAGCGGGTTCGAGGCCGACTTTGATTGCGTCACAGACGAGCCGAAATGGATTTATATACAAACCTCAGCCCTGTGACTTTGGTATTACTTATTTATTTATTTAAGATATTGAAGACTTACAGATAGTCAAACCTAACTAACCTTAAACTAGATGATAAACAGCCAATAACAAGCCTTCACTTATATACGTCACAAACGAGCCGAAATGAACATAAAAATATAAACAAACACCTTAGCCCTGTGACTTTGGTGCAGACTAGTTGAAATTTCAGTGTTTTTTCTCTTATAACATTGCCCTTACTTTAGGATAAAATTAGTCTATGTTGTAAGGACGTTTCACGGCGCCAGGCCCACGCAATAGTTTTCAATGTTGCACGAATGGGCAGGTCCGTCCGGGTAAGTACCACGACCTCGCAGAAGACCGGCGTAAAGTAGAAGTGTTACACTTCTGCGTTTCGTCTGGTTAGTGAGGTAGCAGGGGCCCACTTTATTTAAAGAGCGCAACGCATTTGCAACCCTACGCGTGTTACAAATGCCCATGGGCGGCGGTTATCAATTAACATCAGGGGCACCACCAGCTCCTTTCTCACATAAAAAAAAGGAAACCATAAATTTCACGGGGACAAACACCTAGATGCGAAACAACTATCTGCGGGTCAGTCAAATAGTTCTCCCATGTGGGGATCGAATCCACGACCCCCAACGTCGAAGCCAATACCTTGGCAACTGCGCCACGGAATCATCAAAGGTTAGTTGCGATAGAAAAAAATTGTAGTTTACTTCAATTGGCATGATGAAAGAATATTTCAGTGCACATACAACGGCGCATAAAAAAGCCTGCCTTGAGTTAACATTACCTACCGGTAATTAAAATAAATCGTATCAGTAATATTGTTACATAAATTATTATTAATGTAAATATGAGTGGCAGTGACGATCGTGTGAGACAAATAAAATTTATTAAAATCAAAACTTTCAACTTACTACTCTAACTAATTACTTACTAACTAACTACTAACCTACAACGAAATTAAACTCATCATTCATTATTTTACTCCATATTTTCTCTATTAATATTTATTATTTGTTAGCGGCTCACTCCCGTTACAACTTGCAGTAACAGTGTTAGCAGATTAGCAGGTAATATGCGTTGCCACCTTCTAATTAAGTGGTGTAATGGTAGAAAACTCACCTGCGCACAGCAACGTCGATTTGAACTCCTGCGTCAGCACACCCTCGGGCTCCACTTCTATCTCGATGATCACTTCGTCGCTAGAACAGGATGAAAAATTACAATACCATTCAACCGCCCTCTTCCGGTAGAATTATGAGGGTAGAGATAGTTTTTGAATTTGGTGAATGCGTGACGAGAGCGTTACGAAAAGTGTGATCGGCGTTACGAAAAGTGTGATGTTACGCGAACGGTGATTTCTTGATTATTTAGTAATTTCATTTCGTTCTTGAACAATTTCATAAATTAATATGTGTTCAATACGTTAAATATTCTACGTTTAAAGTCAACAAAATTGTTTATGTATATTACATATAGATGGATGTAAAGAAGTTTTAGTTCAGTCGTTTGCACACCCGTTTTTTCATGTGAGATACCTATTAACTGCTACGATGGTTTTAACCTGTGTCCTCCGGAATACGCGCCCGACAATCCAGCCACTGAGCTAGACTACTTGGATTCACGGCGACGAAAATCCCAACGAATTTTATCTACTTTGTTTTCGTTACAAAATGTTAGGCATGTTTATTTGTCTTTCGTAGTATAATTTCATAAGTGCAGAGAATAGCACCATGAAAAATTAATATCATTTAAAAGCATGTGATATCACCCGACCCCCATAGTTTGATTGCATCCGCGGCATTTAAATATGAAACACTGTATCTTTAATCTATTAACACGGCAGTAGATTTTTAATGTATATAAATGTGTAGTATAAGAAAGATTTCTTAAATGAGAAAGAGAAATTGTGTTAGCAGTTTCGACATAGACAGCTATATGTGTGAACGGAGTTGAAGCATTTGGAGGGCACTTTAACGCGTTGAGGGCGGAAGCCACAAAGCCTTAACTCCGTGCAAAAACTCTAGAACTCTACGTACTATGTTCTGTTAGTTTCATGTGAATGAAACCAATTTTTTTTTTAAATCTTTTTTATAGTGCTAATCTCTGCATGTTTTAATGTCCAATTTTAGTTATTTCCACAGTATAATGTCTTATGGCGCTCCGCTTTGGGGTAACGCGGCCGACATTAATACAATCTTTATCTTACAAAAGAGAGCTATTCGTGCAGTTTACAATCTGGGCCCCAAAGAATCGTTGAGAAACTTGTTTAAAGAGATAAAGGTATTGACTGTTGCTTCTCAAAACTTAATAATGTTCATGATATAAATACTGGAAACAAACATAAATTGATCCTACCCACAAGTAGACTGCGTAGAATAAATAATTATTTTATGGGACAAGGTATACGTTTCTACAACGAAATGCATCAATAGCTAAATTTAAAAAAAGTAGTAAAAGAACGTTTGTGTGTTAAAGGCTACTATAATGTTAATGATTATTTAAATGATAACATACTCCGGTAATGAACTGATCGCTCCAGGCTCTTTCAACCAGAGTTCTTATATTGTATTTGTAATGAATTCATGTCAAACTGCTTAAATTACAAAAAAAATATTAAAAAAAAGCCCGCTGAGTTTCTTTCGCCGGTTCTTCTCAGTACAGTGGCTTTCTTTTCTGAACCGGTGGTAGTGCTTTGACTATCAATAAGCGAGTGTAATGCTCCTATGTTGAATAAAGAATTTGAGAACATTTTACTTTTGCGCATTCATATTTGTTCACGATTTAGTCGTCATCTTAGCCAAACTTAGGTAAGAACCTAGAATTTGAAATACCCAGCAGAATATATTTGTATAAACTTGTATTTTGACACTGAAAGTTGTTTCAAAACCTACATATGGTAGGGTGTACACGTCTATTAAAATCTAAGGTTAAGGTTACAAAATTTACAAGATCATTTTGCCAATTTTTGCAAATGCCTCATTTCTATTTATTTTCAATATTGTACAAAATTAAATTCCCTACAAGTTTTGTTAAAAATCGACTTTTTGCCAAGTTTTTGCAAATATCCCATTTCCTATGGGCTTTTCTATTTATTTTCGATATTTTAGAGCATTAAATTCCCTACAACTTTCGTTTAAACTTTTTTTTCACCTTAAATCCTTTTCAAAATAGGAAAGTTGAGTATATGAGAGTGTGGAAAAAAGTGTGAGAGTGGAAATTTTTACGATGCGCGACACCTAAAAGCGACACCAATTTTATGGTGTTACTCTGGGAACCGATAACAACTTTCCGACATTTAAGTAAAATTGCAACAAATCAATTATGAAATGAATACCTCGTATTCATTTCATAATTGATTTTCAGGATTTCCCTTCATCTCCGGAGCCCAAGATCCGGCACCAATGAAATTAATACGGGACCACAGGGGAAGCACGAGCTTTCAAATAAAAAAAGAATCATTGCAACATGTAGGAGAAGTACGTGTTTTCTACATGTTGTAATGTTCAATCTTAAGTGCAGAGATTAGCACTATAAAAAACTTTAAAATTTAAAAAAAGAATCATCAAAATCGGTTCACTCGGTCGAAAGTTCTGAGGTAACAAACATAAAAAAAAAAAACAGTCGAATTGGGAACCTCCTCCTCCTATTTTGAAGTCGGTTGAGAACACGAAACGAACCCGGCTGACGCGCTTTTGGTGGAGCACTGCGCGTCGTGGACGGATCGCGCGCGCACGTGTAGCCGGCCTACGCCGGGCGCTACGGCCGCCACCTCTACGCGGCCCGCTACGGAGCTACGCGCGGCTACGCACGCGCCGCCCGCCCCGCCGCGCACTTCGAGCGGCTGGTCGGCGAACACCTCGATCTGAACCTAAGGATTTGCAATTTAAATAATAATAATATTCTTTTTTAATTGAGAAGGTGGCAAGGTGGTTCACCTGATGTTACGTGATAACAACCGCCAAGGGACATTTGCAACACCCGTACGGTTGCAGATGCGTTGCTCCCTTTTAATAAAGCGGGACCAGATGAAACGCACAAGTATAACACTTCCACTTTACGCCGTCTTCTGTGAGGTCGTGGTAATTACCCGGACGGACCTGCCACTGCGTGCAACAGCTTCGGCTGTAGTAATGTAGGCAAGTACAGAGAGAGTCATTGTCCACATAGCAACATTTGAAGCTTGGCAATTCGTTCGCAATCGGAATGGCGTTGCTTCTACAGCTGTCAGCCTCTAAAAATACCCGAAGGTGTGCGGTGGTAAGGTTACAGCTAAAAGGGCTGACTTACGTTTTTGTTTTTTTCTATAATATTAATTGATTTGTGACAGTTTCAAGTCAAATTATGGATAAGTTATTCAACTCATGATGCTTACGCTTAGCGGCTCGTAAAGATAATTGAAGATGCGGTATCGGATGATGGAGTTGTCCCCTTTCCTCAGCGTCTTTGGACCGTCCGCGTGAATGAAGAACTCTCGGAAGACCTGGTGATCATTAAAGCATAATAAAAGGAGAAGAAAACGCGACTTGAAAAAATATTAATGATATTGTTAACAGTTTGTGGTTTTTGATCACCTTTATGTTGCTTCACTTTTAAAGCGAGAATCTACGTATCGCATATGTCAACGGGTTGATAATACAGTAATAGTTTTCTTATTTTTACAATGCGAGAATATTCTAAATAAAAATTCGTACAAAAATTGTTTCACAACGCATTCTAACGTTTGATAGATGTCAATATATGTAATCTGTGGCATTGTAACAATAAGTTTCACAGATGTCAGATGTTATCTGTGGCACTTGAACAATTAATTATCTGTGGGTGTAGCGTGAGGTGAACGACCTGCAGGACGGCGGGTGGTGCTATGGCGATGCCGGTGCGCGACACGCAGACAGCGCTCGCCTCGTAGCGCGTGATGGAGTCAGGCGCGCGCGCTGTGGTGGTCACCGTACCGTTCAGCCCCACCGCCACCAGCCGCCACAGCCACGCCTAGAGGTCAACTTGAGGTCAAACGTCACACTCTTCTCGTTCCTATATCAATTTAAATAGTTTCGAAAAAGGTCTAAGGTTTCCATATCATTTTCAATGACCTTCAACTTCAAAAAACTTTTCAAAACTTCAACTTCTCTAAACTTTACTACTGATTATTAATAAATTCATAACGGCCCTTAATTTAGTTCCGTGCTACTAAAACTTGCGTTACTGCGTCAATTAATTGGAAATATTTGACGTCGTATTGCCAATAGATGGCGGTAACAGTTCATAACGAAACTCAAGTGTGACTCTTACTTTTACGGCAATATCTACTAGGGATGTCAACCTTACTTTAATATAAAGTATTGTACTTTTTTCCGGACAGCGTACTTTTTACTGTTAAACATATTAATATATCTTTAATAGATCAACATATGTTTTTAACAATGTATTTTTGTGAGTAGCAAATATATCTTTGTATAGTCTGAACCGTGATATACCGTATAGTAGAGTCGTGATAGCTCAGTATCCGGGCGCTCGCCATTAATTCAAAATACTCGAGCAACCTGAGTTCGATCCCCGGTGCCGGCACCAATGAAATTGTTAATTTCAAGTGCTGAATTATCACGTGCTCAGCGGTGAATAAAAAACATCGTGAGGAAACCTGCATATTTTCGAAATAATAATTTAAATTTTTTTTCGAATATATGTGAAGTCCGCCAATCCGCAGTGGGGCCGCGTGGTGGACTATGCCCTGATACCCTCTGTACAGAGGAGGCGTTTGCCTTTTTTTTTACTTTACTTTTATAGTCTGAACTTTATCCATAAAATACTATATTTTCACTTATAACAACTTACTTAATTTTTTATAGCCTATGTCGAAAAATTCCATAATCATCCCTAAAGAAATGCTTGCAACCCTAGCAGCATTCAACGTACGATAGAACACATGATCAAATTACACACGACCCGCAACTTTAGGGATGTGCGATAAAACCTGTTGTATGCAACATTGAGCTGTAATGCAATAGAGTAGATTTCAGCGGTTTTAGCCAAGGTAGAGTGTTATAGCTACCGGTTTGGGAGTCTTAATCTCTAATTATCTTGCTGACTGTTGAAGTTTAGGAAGGAGCTTTAGTTTCGGCCGAGCCTTGTGTAGCTAAATTAACGGTCGCTGAGGAACTGATAACCCTTGACTAAAAAGTGATGGTACATCTTTGCAAGACATTCATTTTACGAGTATACATGTTTATCTACATAGTAATAGATTTTGTGGTTTTCCATAAGCGGCATGAGTTGAATATTTTCACGACATCCTATTAACGAATGTAATAATAAAACTAATCAGGTGTTCCCCTTATTGATACACGAGTCTGAATTCGCGACCTTAATTCCTTTCAGGACTCGTTATCAATGAGGGGGCTGTATCAAAAAGGGGGCATGCCCACCTCCGAGAAGTCGCTGCGGGGGGGCGTGACGTCGGTGTCGGTGAGGGGCGCGGGGGGCGGGGGGCGGCAGCGGGGCGCGCGGGGGAGGGGCAACACCCGCACGCCCGCGCCCGCCAGCCACTCGACCGCCAGTTCAGCCCCGGACTCCGCTGGTGCCGGAGCATCTGCCGCTGAGTCAACAAAATGATAGGATGGTAAGAGATCACTGCTACGAGAGAATTCTGTTCCAAGGGTTGGCCAGCATTCGATTATCGTTTCACTTGATCGTTATGATGATAAGATGATAGTAGATACTGTCCAGCTTAGTTAGATTCTGCTTTCAATACGTTCATAATTATTGTTCCAAGCGTTCATAATTGAATCGTCATCGATGACTACCATAGCGCAGTTGTCCAGTTCAGGTATTCCGCTTCGGCGTTCATAATTGGGGTTCGTGGATTCGATTCCCACACGCGACACGTATTTCTGTGATCACAGATAATTGTTTTGGTTCTGGGTGTTTATCCACGAGAAATTTACATTTGTGTATCGCTCTTACAACACAGGATAATATTGTATTACTACCACTTTAAAAAAAAAATTGCACGGTCAAGCTGTCTCATCGTAGCAGCACCCGAAGCCACTGAATTTTATTTCACACACGGGCCCGTAAAGTTTTGTTTACGTCCCTCTATGGGGGAGGCCTGTTCAGCAGTGTTAGCAACCGGCTTCAAAAGGCCACGATGGTCCACCGACCGAGGAAGCAGTCCCCGGCCGCGTCGTACTCGGTGAGGTTCCGCCTCGCGGCGAGCAGCGCCCGCAGCGCCGCCAGCAGCCGCCCGCCGGCGGAGGGCGGGGGCTGCGCCCAGCCCGAGGCGGCGTCGAGGGCGGAGAGCGCGCACAGCGCGGGGCCGCCTGTGCTCACGGCCAGCGAGGCCGGCGCGCCGGGCGGCGACTGCCGCGACACCCACCTCGCCTCCGCCTGGAACCGGGTGCCGTCCCCAAGGGTCACTCGGTCTGTCTGTCCGTCACTGGGTTCTAGTGTCTCGTGGACCGTCATAGTTAGACAGTTGAGATTTTCACGGATGATGTACTTCAGTTGCTTTGACAATATATACTAAAATAAAACTGGGGCTCCCATACAGCTGTATCTGCGAAGACTGTTGCGTGGTAGTTGTGTATAAAACCCAAAATTGTTTAAATTTAATTATTTCATAGAGAATTCAAATAGCCCATGAATGAATCACGCAAGGTCCTCACATGTCAACCTTTCATAAAAATTGGCGTGACTCGGCAAAAGCGCTAGTTGATCCACGGCTACCCGCAAATAGATAAAAATAAAACGAGCACCTTATTGCCGAAGCACTCGTCCATCTCGAAGTGCTTGCTGGCGCTGACCAGTTCGCCCTCGTGGTAAAAGTAGGCGAGCAGGTGGCTGTCGGGGCACATCTGGTGGGTGATCCTGACCGGCAGCACGACCCTGGGCAGGTGGCGCTCCAGGGGGTCGGTCGAGTTGCCGTCCAGCTGGCCGAGGTCCGAGTCCACGTCGTTCAGGCCGGGGGGGAGCTGGCCGAAGTCACAGGAGCTGTTCCTGGGCGCCGGCAGCAGCTGGCCGACTGGTGCTGTGCTGGGGCATTGGGTGGTCGCCCCCCACCGGTAGATTATGCCGCCTCGGGTTATCACCTAACGACATAAATTAGCACGACTTGCAAAAAGAAACGAAAAGTTTATCGATTCCAAATCTTGATCCTGTGTCCCAAGCATATCACACACAGGTAGGAGTTGAGACTTGACTTAAAATCACTTAAAATGCTAACTTCACTGATATTATAAAGTATTTCATATTGATGTAGTACTCTCTTACTTCTCATGGACATCCAAAATACTAGTTGCAGAGTTGCTGTTGCTATGACAACTTTTTTTGGTTATTCCAGTTGTGCAAGTCGTAATTGCTAATATAATACGAATGGTGTGATATATGTGCGGCGGTTAGTGCGCCTGTTACGGCGGTTCAAGGTAGGTGCTGCATCTATTATTGTCCAGCTGATGTGATATCTGTACGTCAGCACGCCTTGTAAGGTTGTTTAGGGTGGGAGCTTTGGTGCATCTAATGCAGTACGGGTGGTGCGTTTGCTGTGGGTGCTGTAGTACGTCTAGTACAGTACGGTTAGTATGGTATCCGTAGGGCGGCTAGCGTCTGGTACGGTGCTAGAGAGTAGGTGCTACATGTAAAAAGTACGAATAGTGAGATAATTGTATGGTGGTTAGCCCGGTTGGTATGACGGTTGCGGATGGGTGAAGCATCTAAAGTACGAGTGGTGTGATATCTGTACGGCGGCTAGAGCGACAGTACGGGAGCGCGGTACATATAAAACAGTTCAGCTGGTACGATATCTGTGCGATGACTAGCACCACAGTACGGTAGTGCCGTACATCTAATACAGTGCGGCCGGTGCGACACCTGTCCGGTGACTAGCGCGACGGTACCGCGACGGTACCGCGACGGTACGTTAGTGCGGTGTATGTACGGCGACTAGTGCGCGCGATCTGCCCGTACCGCGAAGTGCACGGTGAGCGGGCGGCGGCGCGGCGGCAGGCCGAGGTAGAGCGGCACGAGCGTGCGCGCGGCGCGCGGCCCCGGCCGCAGCGGGCCCAGCGCCGCGCGCGCCGCGCCGCGCGCCGCCGCCAGCGCCAGCGCGGCGCTCGCCTCGCCCAGCCGGGCCTGCGGGGGGCGGGGGGGCTTCACTAAAGAAGTAAAGTGACGGCCTATACATGCCCCACGGGCATAGTCCACCGCGCGGCCCCACTGCGGATTGGCGGACTTCACATATCTTCGAAATGATATGCCGGTTTCCTCTCACTATGTTTTCCTTCACCGCGGAGCACGTGATGAGCCAGCACTTAAAGTTAAAAGCTTCATTGGTGCCGGCACCGGGGATCGAACTCAGGTTGCTCGAGTATTTTGAATTAAAGGCGAGCGCCCGGACACTGAGCTATCACGGCTCTAGTAATGATTGCTTTTACACGAGCTCGTGACACGCACAGGCTCGTGGTACAATCGCTAAGTATCACTGATCAGGCGAAACGCAAAAGTGAGGGGGCTTTAGCAACGCTCTCTTTTACACGAGCTCGTAACACAGGTTCGTGGTACAACCGCTAAGTATTACTAGTCAGGCTAAATGCAAATGTAAAGTTGTTGTATTATTATTCTTGTTGTACTATACTTTTCTCTTCCGTGAGACCGTATTACTCATCGCCCAGATAAAGCTGTTGCGTAACTTTAACACATCGATAAATATATTTACAGCTATAATGCATATCTATACAATGTATGTTCGTGAATGAAAATAACACATTACTATTACAAATTTGAATCTTCCACCAGAAGAACAAGGACAGAATCGTAAAGTTATTTTCCCAACCGCTGTTTTAACTTTTAGTCCGTAGAATGTTAAAGCTTCATCGAACACAAAGTTTGCCTATTTTATATCTGCCGTATGTACCTGAAAATGGTAAAGCGCACTGGCAGTACGATCGGGGGCGAAAGTAAGTCTCGCCACGCCCCGGCTGTCGGTGAGGGCACTGACGCATGTGACAGGACCCCCGTTGCTATTCGCCACGTCATCCACGTCCGCCCCCATGTTCACGTCCGCCCCCATGTTCACGTTCGCCCCCATGTTCACGTTCGCCCCCATGTTCGCATCGTCGTTTGCCCCCTCGCCTACAACCGCGCGCCGACACACGCGCACCCGCTCGCCGACCGCCGGTTTATCGTCCCACCGAGTCGCCTTCACCTGGAATCGCGTTTCGAATTTTTGCGTTTAATGAATAAGTAGTGGTATCTTTTTTAAGTTATTGGTCTCATACATTTTTACACGGTCATATATTTTATACCTTTTTTATACATTTTTACGGTGTTAGGGCCACGCAGCAGCCTCGGCTGTTGCACGAATGGGCAGGCCCGTCCGGGTAAGTACCACGACCTCACAGAAGACCGGCGTAAAGTGGAAGTATGACAAATACTTTCGCGTTTCGTCCGGTGAGTGAGGTAGCCGGAGCCCAATTTTCAAAAGGTTGTCAACGCATCTGTAACTCTCGGGTGTGGCAGATGTCCATGGGCGGCGGTATTCACTTAACATCAGGTGAACCGTCTGCTCGTTTGACAACTTTTCGCATAAAAAAAAATACACGTTACGGCTTTAGCTAGGTTCGGTTATCAGTGATCGCATCGCACCTTTTTATTTTTATTTGCATAGTTCTTTGATGTCGTTTTTTTATAATATGTTTTGTGTCTTTATATTATGCTCAATATTGGATGCGATGTTACGTGTTACATATTGTTCGAAGGAGAATCAAAATATAGTATGGTGAATCAGTTTCTTATATTAACATTTTATTTCTAAGGCTTAAAATGAGACTTAAAATTTATAGATTTTGTCGTAACATTTTCTACTCATTTTAAGTACCAGATGAGGATGTTGCCCTTAGGCTTAGTATTTAGAGCGTCTGGGCAATTTACCCAGTAGGACCCCGAAGGCACAGTTTCGAGTCCTGGCGGCTGCGAAAAATTTTTCGATAGTTTATCTACACTATTTCAGTTTCTTTGATTATAATTTTGTCTGAACTTACTTTTAACTTATACGGTAGACTTGGTGACAGTATCGCACGATGCTTCGTGAGGAACTCCAGCGTCACTGGATTGTCCACGACCTCGGACACGACGGTTGTGTTCTGCCAAATGCGCGTGCCCTCTTCCTGCAAAAGACCGGAAGAAAAATTAAATAGCGATACGGAACAGTGACTGTATATTAGGTAGCGAAGAATTCAGCAATCAAAACAATATATAGTTACTCTCCGTCACCGATTGAATTGGGGGCTCTTTTCTACCTAAAGTGAAACCAGATATATAAATACACCTTGCCCAGTAGAGAAGTAAGTCCTGTGCGAGATGAGACCCTTGTCACTATAGTAAGGGTAGCCATCGAGAATATTTTAATGGGTAGGTGTCTCGTATAACCCGTATAGTCTTTAGGAGATCCCAACACGTTCCGTGGAACCGTAAGAGCCTTCGCAATATATTGAGAGTAGCTATCGAAGGTTTTAAATAAGTGGGGGACATAACCCGTCTCTTTAGGGAATTCCCCACGTAGCATGGCAGATGTAAGAGTTCTTCCTAATATAGGTATAGAGTAGCCATCGAAGGGATTTTAGTGCGTGGGTTACCATATAACTCGTGTCTTTAAGACCCGAGTAAATAATTCCCGTAGCTACACGACAGTTAGTGGGTGGATGTCAACCGTGTCTTTAAGACCCCCTCTATACTAACAAAGTAATTCCTGTAGCTACACGACAGTTAGTGGATTGTTGTCCCTCACGACCCGTGTCTTTAGCCCCCCCCTCCCCCCGTGTCTTTAGCCCCCCCTCTCCCCCGTGTCTTTAGCCCCCCCCCCCCCCCCGTGTCTTTAGCCCCCCCCCCCCCCCCCCCCCGCACCTGGAAGCTGAAGTCGGCCACGACGATCTGCGGCGGGTGCTTCGCCGCGAGGCCCACTCGTCGCGCGGCGGCCGCGTGCCGGTGGCAGGCGCGGGGCGCGCGCAGCCGCACCGCCGTGCGCACCCCCGCCGCCCCCTCGCCCCCGGCCGCCCCCCCGCCGGCGCCCCGCAGCCGGATCACCAGCATGCCCTCCACCGCTTCCGACCACGGGTACCTGAGCGTCGATTGTTTTTTTGTGTCTAATGTGACGCGATGTGGATGACTCCGTGGCGCAGTTGCCAAGGTATTAGCTTATGGTCGGGGGTCGCGGGTTCGATTGCCACACGGGACAACTATTTGTGCGACCCACAGATAGTTGTTTCGCATCTGGGTGTTTGTCCACGTGAAATTTATGTTTGTAAAAACGTCCTCACAACACAGGATAACGTTTATCCTAAAGTGAGGGCAATGTTTAAAAAAAAACGCCTTTTGACGCTTTATATCTTCATTCAAACAGACGTTTGCGCGTTCTTATGAAACATTTAAATTTGTTCGTAAGTTTGAGTTGAGAAGAGACTGGTAAAGAAGAAAAAAAGAACTGTTCTTTTTTAAAAAGATCAGTTTACCATATGAATTAGATATAATACTGTTATTGTAGCTTTTTATTTTAACGTTCACGTGCCACGTTTTAATGTTGGTTGCGGTTACCTCACTCACCAGACGAAACGCGGAAGCATAGCACTTCAAGTACACGCCGGTCTTCTGTGAGGTCGTGGTACTTCCCCGGACAGACCTGCCCATTCATGCAACAGTTGACCGCTTTTTTATTTCAGTTTATTTTGTTAAATACGACTGAGACAATGACAAAGTAGTAACTTCTGTCTCTGGCCATTTATTAAATATCACCCGTGCTATGGTATAAAAAGTAAAGTAAAGTAACAGCCTATACATGTCCCACTGCTGGGCAAAGGCCTCCTCTATACAGAGGGTATCAGGGCATAGTCCATCACGCGGCCCCACTGCGGAATGGCGGACTTTACATATCTTCGAAATATATGTTTTTTGTTATTATTTCGAAAATATGCAGGTTTCCTCACGATGCTTTCCTTCACCGCGGAGCACGTGATAAGTCAGCACTTAAATTTAAAAGCTTCATTGGTGCCGGCACCGGGGATCGAACTCAGGTTGCTCGAGTATATTGAATTAAAGGCGAGCGCCCGGACACTGAGCTATCACGGCTCTCATATGGTATGAACGGGTGTTATTGCGCAAACCCAGACTTGCAACGCCTGTTTGAATATCACGAATTGTTTTGTCCCGTACGGATATAGAACCCACAAACGACGCCGTTACACTTGCCAGGCAGGATGGCCGCTGAATTATTGCGGAAACTGTGTCCGTCATATAGCTTTTGTGGTAACTCGTTCACTACATGTTTAAGACTAAGGTGGACAACATGATATGTCCACCTATCCGGCAAAAAAGATATGGTGAGATTATAAAGCCTATGATTCTGATGATGATTCAAGAACAGGACCCGGAGAGTTCTCACCTGACGCAGACAGTCCAGACCAGCCTCTCGCTGGTCCGGAGCACCCTGGGCGCGTGGCGGACGCTCAACTGGAACGGCGGCAGCTCGTAGTTGCCAACGCTGAACGCGGTTGCACCCTGAGTAATAAATAAAGTTGGCTTAACTAGTTCCGTGGGTAAGAATATAAACAAATATATTTCAGGACAACGATCTCTAGGCCCATACTAAGCAACGCTAATACAAGTTAATCTAATAAAATACACTAAAACTTAATTGTCTTTTATAAATCAATACGCATTATAATTATATAAACACGGTACTTTTCATAATTAAAATTTCATCCACTAAGCCATTCGGGTCGTCAAAAATACGCTAGTTCATCGTACAGTACTGCGATTATTTATCCAATGCTAATTATAATTGTGTATTGTGTAACACTCTGCTTCGCTCTTCGAGTGATCATTATTTTACTCTTTACCGTATGTGATTTAAATAATGGTGATTGATATTTTAAATAGATAGTGCCGGGCGGCGAAAGTTATCCAAATAAACTTTTTTGGCAAAACAAACTTTTAAGATTATTGTCACTTTTCGCCAACAAATGGGAGATAGGATATACTGATAAAAAACACGTTACGAAATAAATTGTATGGCGATTTGCGCGTGATTGTACCGATAATAGACAGCCGAGAGCTTACGGTACTTAGCGCTAAGATATCGCAGTGATGTTACACAGGTTATTTCACACTCGCTGAACGACAACGGCGAATGGTTTTATACTTTTGCAAGTTCGCTTTTTTCTTTCTATTTTGACGACCCGATTGGCTTAGTGGATAGTGAACCTGCCTTTTACGCCAGAGGGTGTGGGTTCGATCCCCACTACCGGAAAAATGTTGTGCGATAAAAAATATGCTTTTCTAGTATATATAAAATGAAAGAGAAAATAAGATATATAAAAAGAAATATAATAAAGATATTAGCAAATATTCTTTTCACAATGGTTGTCTGGAAGAAATCGCTTTCTGAGCGATAAGACCGCCTTTTGTACTTCCTTTTATATTCATTTGTAATTTGCTTTTCATATATTTTTAGTTTTAATATTTTTAGGTGTACAATAAAGTATAAATAAATAAATAAAACAGTGTAAGTAGATATGTTCATAAGTTACCTAGTATCCATAGTACAAGCTTAGTTTGAATGTTTTACGGCCCAGTTTGTGGCAAAGGTGCAAAATGTTTTTGCACATTCATACTCTGTTAGGTGTGGTCTAATAGTCACGTAGGCTAAAACAAGACTATTACTATGTTGAGTTTCTTGCCGGTTTCTTATCAACAGAAACTGCTTTCCGAAACGGTGGTAACTTACGAACGTGTTAATTTCTTTGTAAAATTTTGACGTTTCATAAGAACGCGCAAGAGTCTATGTGAATAAAGATCTTTATTATTATTATTATTTGTGGGGGGGGGGGGGGGGAGGATATTCATTTGTTTTCGCGTCTGGTTGGGTTTATAAATAAAAATAAAAATATAGATATAAATTGCATATATAAAATAAATATTATGGGTGAAAAATAGGAAAAAACTCTTGAAAGACATCTCGGATAATAATCGGAAAAGACGACCAAATTTTCTATTATTAGTTTCTTACTGTGGTAGGGCCCGAATGGGCAGGTCCGTCCAGGTAAGTACCACGACCTCACAGAAGACCAGAGTAAAGTGGAAGTATGACAAATACTTTCGCGTTTCGTCTGGTGAGTGAGGTAGCCCAATTTTCAAAAGGTTGTCAACGCATCTGTAACTCTCGGGTGTGGCAGATGTCCATGGGCGGCGGTATTCACTTAACATCAGGTGAACCGTCTGCTCGCTTGGCAATTTCACTACATAGTATAAATGTCAGTCCCTATTGCTTAGATCTCTAAAAGTACGCAACGGATTTTGATGCGGTTTTCTTTAATAGATATAGTGATTCAAGAGGAAGGAATTCTACTATATTGTGCACATTATACCACAATATAGTAGAGAAACACTGATAATTTTAGAGGTTTCTAATTCGATGTCGAAAACAAACATTCAGCGTTGCACCCGTGCGAAGCCGCCGCTAGTTTCACATAAAAAAAGACTAGTAGACGTGCAGAAATTGTCACATAAGATTAGAGATCGTACCTGAGACCCGTCGGCGAGGCTCGCCCTGACGGTCCACTTGCCCGGCGGCGCGTGCTCGTCCAGCTGGTGCTGTAGCTGGGCGAGTCCGAGCCGGGTTCGAACCCCGAGCCACTGAGCCACGCGCACGCCATCCCACGCGCCGTTGGGGCCTTCCAGCCAGATTTCGTCTATCTGGAAAATAGTTCACTAGATTATGCAGTACATTTACATATTGTTTGTTGACAAGTTGACAAGCGCCATTGTAATGTGTGCATTAAAATTGGCGCGTGTCTACCAAAGTTGATATAAAATAAAATTAAATGTAGTAAAGTAAAAAAGTTTACCGGTGGTTCGGGCCACCCTTGCAAATAGGCAGGCGGTTATCACTTAACATCTGGTGAACCGCCAGCTCGTTCGCCACTTCCTCACATAAACTAAAACAATAGAATAAGCCAATTAGGTTTGTACCTAATCGACTTTCGGTGCGCCAGTGTCGTATCTATCACGTATTTGTACATAATATCATTGGTTTTGCCCTCTTAATGGTGGTCAGCTGTCTGTGATGTCGGAGCGCCAGCGCCAGGCGTTGAACGTTAGTTAGTTTTATTTTAACTTTTTATACCTTAACAAGTAAATTTTTTTGAGCTTAACGGTATAGGATGATATTACAGATGCCATTCAAGTTTCACTAACTTTAACCCAAACTTGACAGGTGTAGACTCTACAAATATAGACTAAATAATAAGGGAGATACGTCTGCGTGGATGAAATAAAAAAAAATATAGAATCATATTATTTGTACACGTCATTAGGATTCAAACTTACGACCTAAGATAGCGTTAAATATATATGTTTTTTTATGATTCCCACCTAATGACCTTAACCCATTGACACTGTTGCACTGACCGTCGCGACAGCGCAGACAACAAATCTTTTTCCGTATCAGCTAGGGTTGGCAAATTCGATTGACGATTATTTTTGAAATAAGTAAATTGAAATGGTCTTGTCGACGTGACTGTATGTACATATGAAGCAGAGAATTAAGTGTCTGTCAAAAAACAAAACGGCAAAATAAAAATATAAATAAATCAGGATATAACTTTTACACAGTTTTATCGAATCACTAGTTAAGTAAAGTGCTAATATGGTTACAATATGTGCTTATTATTTAGCTTTAGAAAATAAACATTTATAGATAATATAAACGTTGTGTCTCACACAACAAAAAAACATGGACAGAAATACAGCCTGGTGGTGTGTGAGATGCACATCAAGTGTACCCATAACTTGTCACCACCAGCAAAATGGCCAGTCCATTACTATCATCATCATCATCATCATTTCAGCCTGTCCGAGTCCACTGCTGAACATAGACTACTACTATTACTATCATACTATATGATAAGTAGTTACGTCGTTAAATTCTCAAGTTCGGGTGCGCGGTGTTTTCGTGAGTAGATTCAACTACTCCTACCTGGAAGTGTACAATGGGATTCTACTACATAAAGAATCAGGTGTGTAAAGATTATTTATCGGATTTGCTGCTTTCAGAAATCGATGTCACATTGTGCCCGGTGGACTACAACCGGTTTATAAATAGCCGGAATTTGGACTAGTTGCTTAAAGAAACTTGAATCTTAATCCTAGAAGCTGGAGAGAGATACCTGTGGCTGTCTCTGTCTACTGTAGGGTAAAAACGCGCGGCATTAGTTTAAGTGTGCCACTGTGCCGACCAGTCCCGCCTCCGCTCGTTAGCCCCGGAGTCCTGTTAACGTAACCGGTTCAAAATCGATGTCGGCGTACCGCGGCTCTAGCTCGCTTCGTCGCCCACCGTAAGCTGAGCTCCGACCACCTTGGACTGCAACGTAACTGTCACTACTGACCAGGTCAACTGAACTCGGCCGGCAAGGCTAATATGACCCGCGCGCGGTTTCGCGAAACGACTATTTTAATTGCTCTCAACACATTCCTCTTCGGAGCGGGCGCTCCGCACTTTCCGTTGTTTGGACGTAAGGGGGCTATTTCGTTTTCGGACGTCCGTGTCAAGTGGAAGAACAAAGGCGATTCATTAGAGAGATATTCGCATAAAGAGATGGTATGTGCGAATTAATATGCACATAATCTAGCTATGATTTTGACAGAAGTTGAAAGGCCCAGGGCAAAATTGCGACGAGCGCTTCAAATGCAAAATTTAAGAACTATACTGTCCAGTATAGTTCTTAAAAATTCATATTTAAAGCCAAAATCCAAAGCGGGATATCAATAGAAATATGAAACAAGAATTAATATTGAAAAATCCATGTTTAACAAAATAGTTTGTTTAACAAATTTAAAATAGTTTGTTTGAACACTAATAAGCACATAATATACATACGTTATTCTCATAAAACTTAGTATAAGATAGTTGGGGATATCGTGGTTTGAAATTGTTTAAACATTTTAGAAGCCAGTTTTGCTTTTTCAACAGTTTACTTCATTATTGAGTTTACTTCGGTATTCCTACCAATTTATTGAATTTTTTTGTTTAATTTCCTTGGCGATAAACAATTATTATAATGTCAGTAACAGTCGGGATATGATCCATGATAAAGGATGTGTTGCCCGCGACTCGATGACGCAGAGCCAAAGCTTCGCAACCATCACTTACCGTTCGTCGATTCACCTTCGAAGGAGACAAAGTTGAACATTATGTATGTATTGCAATATACAAACAAATTATTTGCATACGGCATGAGTTCATTTCGAAACCGTGTCAATGTTATGCATCCGTATGCTTGCGGTCGGTTTTTTCGTGCCGCTGGAATAATCAACTGTTGGTACTTTTCAAACGGCTTCTTAACATTGTGGACGATTGCCACAAAACGGTTCACCTAATGTTAGGTGCTGCGTATGGACTTATATAACGCATATGGTTAGTTAGATGCGTTGCCAATCTTGTGCCCAGGTTAGCTCACGGTTACGAAACGCAAAAGTGTAGTAAGTAGTATAATCCTACGCCGGTTCTCTGTGAGGGCGACAGCAAAGCAAGGTCATAGGGCAATAAAATTTAACGAGAACTTAAGGAAACTGACTGTCTGTCACTGTATGATCTTCGAATAAATGTCGAGTACCTGGAGGACCGAGCTTTGCTCGGTTTGTTTTTTTTTGATAAATAATTGGAAAAATATTTTGGAAATTAAATTTACATAAAAATTACAGAGTAATGAAATATGCATAATATTTTTTGATCTACGGCGTAATAATAAGAAAATATGAACTTGTGTTTTTCACAAAAGAAAGAACTTTAAAAAAAAATGGGAAAAAAGAACAAAATCATCTGGATGGACAAAAAATAAAAAATAAAGAAAGCAATGATGTGGAATCGAAAAAAAAAGTAAAAAAATAATTATGTAAATGATCGTGACACGAACCACGGCCTTCTGTTTCGGGACCGCTCGATCTATTATAACATTTTTTTTTGCGGCGAAATTTACCGTCATCTTCGAATGATATTTTTCATTCCCTGAAAACAGGGATAAAAGGACATTTTCTAAAAATGAAACCTAGCTAGATCGATTTTTCGCCCCCGAATCGACGCACATACTAAATTTCATGAAAATCGCTGGAGCCGTTTCCGAGATTCCGATTATATATATACAATAATTGCTCAGTCTTGTTGAATTACAGTTTTGTCCACAAAATCTCAAATATTAGCCTCTGGATACACTTGCAATTGTTCTCAACAAAGCTATTCTTCTGGGGAGTTTTTTTATTGCGCAGTTCCAACGGAAACAACGTATTAAGCTAGTTTTAAAAGTACATTAAAGGGAAAATATTTAAAATGATTAATATACGCCTTATACGTATTCGTATTAATGAAAGTTCTAAGAAATAAAAGTTCACGCCATAAAAATGTTCTTTGCATAATTTAAAAGTCCAAATATGGCTTTCCACTAAGCGATGTACTCAAACATCACTTAGTGGAAATGCCGTTCAATCGGCGGATATCACTATTATACGTATCATCGTTCTACGTTGAGCGAAACGCGAGCTTTAATGTCCACAAAAAACGGCGATGATCAATCATCGACAGCTGTCAAATAACGTAATGGGCGGCCGCTTCGGTGAATGACGGAACGCACCGTGTGCCTGCGACATAGCGTCAGTATTTATTCATCTTTTCACATGTAAGTAGGGTTGCCAACTGTTTTAGAGTAAAATAAAGTATCACATTTTCAAGTAGAGAAATAATAAAGTATAAAGAAGATAAATAAAGTATTTTTCAAAATTTTAGAGAAGAAATTTTAGAGCCGTGATAGATCAGTGTCCGGGCGCTCGCCTTTAATTTAATATACTCGAGCAACCCGAGTTCGATCCTCGGTGCCAGCACCAATGAAATTGTCAATTTTAAGTGCTGAATTATCACGTGCTCAGCGGTGAAGGAAAACGTCGTGAGGAAACCTGCATATTTTCGAAATAATAACAAAAAAAATATTCCGAAGATATGTGAAGTCCGCTAATCCGCAGTGGGGCCGCGTGGTGGACTATGCCCTGATACCCTCTGTACAGAGGAGGCTTATGCCCTGCAGTGGGACATGTATAGGCTGATACTCAAAATTTTATTTATTTCTCCTCTTGAAGATATAATATTTTTGTATGCTTCTAGCACACCGTCACTTTTATTGGGATAAAGATAATCATATAATATTATTAATAGCAAAAGCTTTTAAGTCGAAAGTGTTCTGATTCCTTAGAAGTATCGATAAAAGTTCAGTCATTATCCATATAGGTACACTCATTGAAGTGTTTTATATTATGCATCACAGTAAAGATTGAAAATAGAGTATTTTCAAATACTTTATTTTTAAGCAAAAATATAAGTTATACTTACTAAAAATAAAGTAGGGTACGTTATTATGATGTATGTTTGGCAACCCTACTCGCACGTAGCATACGTTTGTGTTTGATCGGCGTAATGTTTCAAATGTGACTAATTTAGGACGCGACTAATGCTAATTTCTGTTGTAATTTGTTTCATATACATGTATACATTAAACTTTTTCTTAGCTATAGGTACAATGATATCCATTAACATTAACGAACCTATAACAGACGCAAGTATATTGTTGGCAACATTAAAATTATTTTTATGCATGGCAATTGTATACCATTCGAATCGCTATTAAACTCTCTCGCATAGACGTGTCATTGGTGTCAAGCGTAAGAAGTGGGGGATTCGGTTCCACCACATTACGAACCTATCACAGACGCAAGTATATCTCAAAAAAACTATTTAGAACATACAAATATTAGTTCTGCCTGGTAATCGAAGGTTGTGCCGCAGGGCGCAACGGAATTTATAGAGCTGCACTGATAAGCCATAGAACTCTCCAATCGTAGATAGGTTATATATTATACAATGTGATAAAAAAAAGATTGCTCTCGAGAGCAAAATTATAAGCGGAATCCTGGAAAATTTTGTGTATGGGCACTGCAGAAAGTACAGCATTAATTTACCGAAATCCTGAGTTTAATACTTCAATAAAAAATTGTTTGGCAGCGGTGGGATTCGAACCCACGCCTCCGAAGAGACTGGTGCCTTAAACCAGCGCCTTAGACCGCTCGGCCACGCTACCTATTACGCGTGTTCCGAAATAGTCATTGTTATGCTGTTGTTGCATAAAATATGAGGTCAAAGAAATTTATTCCCAAAAAAATAATACAATGCCACTAATATGAGAATATTATGCAATCATAAAATAAAGCAATGGTCAGCAATGTAAAAATATAGAGTTCATCTGATAGAATCTTTTAATAGTTTATGGCTTTTTTTCCTTTCCATCGGAACTTGGAAACAATAAATCTCTCTTCTTCATTCTTGCCGATTATGACTCTGACGCCCGGTTTCTGAAACACTGATCACCGTAGAAGTTAACTAATCAGCTGTCGAATGGCTGTTCAAATGTTATTTGAGTTGCCAAAAGTATTTTTAAACTCTTAAAAACTGAATTGATCAGAATCTTCTTATTGACCAGAATGATCAATTCAAAGAGTTTAACTATCCTTTTTTCATCTTTAAATAAAATTTGAAAAGCCATTTGACAGCTGATTAGTTAACATCTACGATGATCAGTATTTCAGAAACCGGGCGTTAGATAGCTAAAGGAATTTGCGTTTACCTGAAATGCATTGAGTTTTATCTTATTATATGTTGCGCTTTTTGCGCTTGTTGTTAACGTGTATTTATTATTATTAAACTTTGAAAAAAATGTTCGAGAATAATTAACAGAAGCCGGGAATCTCCTTCAACAGGAAGCGCGAAAGTTTGGAAGCGTCTCGGAAGCCCAGCCATCCCGCGGGATTAAGAGGAAAGCTAAAGTTTTCCCCTTAATCCCGCGGGATTTACGAAATCCCGTATCAGTGAAAACGCTACTTGATTGCGCCGTATGGAAAGTTCTACATTTTCAAGGAGCACTGAAAAAAGTGCATCAGTATACTAATTGAATTAAATATAGAGTGTGATATTGAATTAAATAAGGTGTTTGTTTATTATCATCATTTCAGCCTATTAGAGGCCACTGTTGAACATAGGCCCAGGCATTTATATGCTGGAAAGTATATAGCAATGGGTACGCCAAGCATTGCTTCAAATACTCAAAAACAATGTAGATTTTCTTCGGTGTGGCAATAAGCCGTTTAGCTTAGTGGCTCAAGCATCAGGGCGCGAATCCCGAAGATGTGGGCTCGATTCCCACAGCGGCGAAAAACTTTTAGTACCTTTTTGTACAAATTTTGGTGATTATAATAATATAAATGTAAACTCAGGGGTAGTTTTTATTTATGTTTCAAGCGAGCACGCGGTTCGCCTGATGCTAGGTGATGACCGCCGTCCAGGGAAATTTGGATTTTGCAACACCCTTGCAACTTTGCAGGTGTGCCCCAGCTACCTTGCTGAATGCAGTGATAAAGCGCAGAAGTATAACACTACCGCTTTACGCCGGTCTTCTGTGAGGTCGTGGTACTTACCCGGACCTGCCCATTCGTGCGACTTCGAACTGTTGCGTGGCCCTACCACAGTAAACGCCGTGGTACTTCCCCGGACGTACATGCTCATTCGTGCAATAGACCTGCCCATTCGTGCAATAGACCTGCCCATTCGTGCAAGAGACCTGCCCATTCGTGCAATAGACCTGCCCATTCGTGTAATAGACCTGCCCATTCGTGCAATAGACTTGCCCATTCGTGCAATAGAGTCTCCCTACCACAGTAGAATAATGTACTCACGTCGCCCTGCGCTGGCGTCAGGTCCGCCTTCAGGACTAGGGCGCGCACGCGCAAAGTGTCACCTGGCCGGTACCGTGCTCTCTCCGTAAGCAAGGACACCACGCGACCGCTGCCGATGCGCACGCTCATCCGCCTCTCCCAAACGCACGCGGCCTCTTTGTACCTGTAAGTTCGTTCTTTCAACCCTTCATTTTGACGTTTTGATGACGATAGGCGTAGTGGATAGTAGACCTATCTTTTACAGGTGTGGGTTCGAGCCTTACTACAGGAAAGAATATTGGGTGATGAATATTTTTTTTAGTGGCGGGAAGCTTACATATCTAAAGTATGTATTTATTAAAGAAATAAACGAACGGATTGGCGTCGTGGATGGTGACCCTGTCTCTAAACCAGAGGGTGAGGGTTCGATCTTTACACCCAGAAGGTATATATTTAGTGATAAATTAAATTATTTTTTTATTTATTTAGCAACTCTTAAGAGGTAGGCAGTGTAGTATGTGAAACCCAAATCTTGATTCGTCTTATGATGTAGGAGATTATTGCAATCAAATGACTGAAATGTAACTTAATATTTGACCGCTTTTTGTTTATTTATTCATCCTTTATTGCCAGTACCTTAAAATTTTACTTGATTGTAACGGACGAACTTAATGGCTGTAGACATTTCTCCCGTTCAGTCTGTGGCGCGGAGATCTTTAGATTGAATCATTAATATACACAATGCAACAAAACATAGAACGCTTTCTTCGTTTCATCAATATATGGATCAAAACGCGACGGGTGAGTCAGAAATGGGGACGCGTAAAACTCATGATACCCATTACTATGAATCCTATTAATCTCGGGTCGTAATACCAACTACATGAAATAGGCATGAATCTCTGAATTTGCTCAGTTTTATAACAGCCAATAAAATCTATATGTAATCCTCTGTGTGTCCACCTGTACCGCACCCATTGGTAGAATATATATGACATTTTTATCAGTGTTTTAACATAAAACAGTATTTGTCCCAGGCTGAGTATTCGGCAGCTATTTTAATTGTAGGTGGAATAGTAGTTTTATAAACTTTACAAAAATATACTGTACAACATTTTTGTATGTAGAAAGTTCCCATCTAATGAAATTTAAAGATACAGACGTAGGTGGTAAACTCAGTTGACCATTTACACTTTTATGCTTCGAAGATTGATTTCATCATATTCATATTTCATGTGATAGACTATCGAAACCAAGTTTACCCAGTTAAGGGAAGAAGGTACAATAATTATGCCCTTTCTACTCCTTCTTTTCCGTACATCATTTCTGATGAACTCCTGTTGGAAGTCGGTACACCATGACACATCACTTGCATGGATCAATGGAAAAGAATGGGAAGTATTTCAATTCGAAACATTAGACTTACTTATTGATTGTGAAAATAGTACTACCAGTTCGGATAAGAAAAGCCACAGACCTGAGAAGAACCGCCGAAAGAAGCGCAGCGGGACAATTTTTTTCTTCTATCGATTATTCCAAAATTAGCTGACGCCTTTAGTATTTCTTTAGCGTTCGACACATCTATGTTATACTCAGTTTCACTACCTTTTTTATTAACTTGGATAATGTTCGCAATTCCTAGCGAATCCATTCGATCTACTCGGAGCGATCCTGATTTATTGTTGCTACGTCTTTCTGCATCGACGGCACAGACTGTCCATACATCGAGATTAGAATCTTCATCTTGATATACGGCACAGCGGGAACTACTTTCATCGTTATGTATGATACTAATTTTACAAGTTATATACGAAATTCCACGGTATATATGATATTTCGCAAATAAAAATGGATCTGAGGGGAATACATACATAAATAATAATGATCTTAATCTAGGCAGAGATTTCGGGATCACTTAAAACATCCCTTTTTAGGGTTCCGTACCCAAAGGGTAAAACAAGACCCTTTTACTAAGACTTCGCTGTCTGTCTGTCTGTCCTTCTGTCACCAGCCTGCATCTCATGAACCGTGTTAGTTAGACAGTTGAAATTTTCACAGATGATGTAGGTATTTCTGTTGCCGCTGCAACAACAAATGCTAAAAACAGAATCAATTTTTTTTTTACATGGGGCCATATACCCTTGGTATGCGAGTTCGTCTCGCACTACGCCGGTTTTTTTTGATTTTTTAAATTTTTTTTCTTTTATTCAGCATTCAAAAAATCGAAGGCAACTTCGGTAAGAAACACGTGCTTGAAAGACATGGGTATTAAATAAAAGCAACAACAATGTAAAGGGTCCCTTTTTCACAGAGCAAATTAGTCCGCCAGGTGTCCTCAGCCAGGATTGGCGGACTAAGGACACACCACGGTAGACCAGCAACTTCTGCTGTTATAGGAATGGCCAGGCGCGTCCAGGAAAGTAAGTAGTCTCCTCACGGGAGACCGGCATGAAGCTGAGTATTATTGTGTTTTTTCCGATGAACGGTAACTGGCACTCATCAATAGGGTTTGCAACGTACAATAAAAAAAAATAGCACGGCCGTTAATAACAGGTGAAATGCGTTTTTTCAATTTTTGAAAAATACAAATAAGTTGCCACCTACTCAAAGGAAACATCGGTGCTTTAACAGGATGTGTACAAGTTCTTTTACAGATATCCACACTTTTACAGATGTTTATTAGTGAACAAAAACTTTGATAGAGCGACATAATATTTTATCGTGGATAAACAGCACATGCATGCATGCAGCATGAGAAGACCTTGTACTGAGCGTGTCAAAAATTACCTATTAAATAATTACATGGTAGAGTTCCTAAGAACTATATATATATATATATATATATATATATATATATATATATATATATATATATATATATATATATATACAAGTTATACATCTGGTGCCAATATATAATTGGGTGGAATTTCGTAAAATCCTTTCTTAGCTGACCTCTACTCGGTGAAAGCAATATAACTACCTAATTTCAAGTCTCTACGCCTTATGGTTCCAGATATATCGTGATGAGTCAATTATCGGTTGAAATCTCTTATATAGAAAGAAAGAAAGAAGAAGCAATCTACAGAATTGCAATCTAATTACACCAATTGGCGTAATTTAATCGGCGCAGTTTCGGTGCGCTAGTTTCATGTCCACCTCGTATTTGTGTATGTCATTGTTAGTATATATAGCCGATATTATGCTTAAGTATAGAGAGGTACAGTTCTTTTTGTTTGATTAGAGAAAAGCACGAGCAGAAATTCATTACATCATAGAAGTATTCTATGATGTAATGAATTTTTCATCGGCTATTTGATAGACTATTCCATTTTAATACAAGTGATTTCTCGTCAAACTCAATATTTGCAGTCCATGTCGGAAGATAAATATGAAATGCTGACAAACATATCGGTCAAGTATGTCAGCATGTTGTCATGCATTTTAATGACAATTGCAAATCGAGCGATAATTGAATAACCAGTGTTTGCATGTACTCAGCAGTTTTTGATTCTGAATCTATCGGTGCGAAGTCGTGTACGGCCGATCTAGAACTATACGAATAAATAAAACTTGAGGTGTTGTTTGTAATGTTAAAATAACTTTTTATTAAATGCCCATGGATGATTACACGGTACTTGCAATAACAATTTTTAGAAATTTTGAGATATATGTTCTTCCATCACAAAAAATAATACGAAAAAAAAAAAATATTGACCACTCGTTTCTTCTTAAAAGAATTTTTATATGTAGTATGTATTTATGTACATGTACATGCATATTATAGTAGAGAAAAGCCAAGATCTACGTGGCACCCATGCGAAGCCGGGGCGGGTCGCTAGTAGTTGTATATAATATTATCTGCCATTTAATAGAAGAATTTCATTGAGACTACATTGTTTATTCTCAATAAGTTAAGGTTACGTGATGTACCTAAATCGTGTATACGCTAATAAACATGTTTGTACAATAAACATAAAATGAACATACTTTTTGTGAAATGCGAATATATGTTTTAGGTTAAATATCACACGGACGACGTCGCGAGCATCCGCTAGTTGTTGTAAAATATCGTTTAATAACGGTGCAAAGTATCACAGTTGAAAAAAGACCATTTTTCAAGTCTCATATTACAGTAAAGGATAAATAAAACAATTAGATACAAAATTTTGATATGGTCGCCATCGGGTAGCGTGGCCGAGCGGTCTAAGGCGCTGGTTTAAGGCACCAGTCTCTTCGGAGGCGTGGGTTCGAATCCCACCGCTGCCACTTTTTTAGAAACTGTTTTTTTCAGGAATAATCTTAAGAACTGCCTCCGAAATTTTATTGTATTTAAGGTAAATTCACTTGTGATGTTCTGTCGCCTACCCGAACAACATTTTTCGTTAGGTTAAACACTTAAAAATACACACTTTTAGGGTGATTATTAGCATATTCCGTAAATTAAATAATTAGAACCTATAGGAATGGAAAAATAAGCGTTTTCTTACAGACTATTAAGTTTCTGTATGTATGTTTGTTTTGTGAACTTTGTATGTATGTTTGTATTTCGAATTTCTGTTCGTATGTTTGTTTGTGTTTATATTTATAAACGTTCTAACGTTCAAAGTACATAATTCTATTCAAACTTTTACCTACCGCATGTTGACAATCAAATCTGCCTTAGTGTTGGGCCGCATTGGTGCAGTGATATCGAGACAGCCGCCGTCACCTGGCGAATGAAGATTTTATTTCTCATCGGCACAGTTAACAAAATAAATGAATACACCGTTGGCAGGAAACAGTAAAAATCCCACAGTTGGACGATTCGGGAGTAATCATGATTTAAAGGAGTTGATTTATTATTGTAGTATTTGTACGTCGAAGACGTTATTTCAATAAAACTATAATTGTAACGTTATACACATTTAATGCTCGGAAACAGACTGCCGCGCCCGGCAGTACATACATAACATTTAGAATTTGTTTGTCTACCCACAATATACGTTACAATTATATTATTGATATTTTCTTTAATTTATTCCAATCCATCCAAAGGTTGCCTGGAAGAAATTACTTTTAGTAATAAGGCCGCCCATTGTACCTATCATTTAAACTTTAAGGTTTTGTTTTGTATATTTCATTTTGGTGTGCAATAAAGAATATTTATTATTATTATTATTATTGAATTAATAAATAATTATTTACTATTGCTAATAATAAATAGCTTCAAATCCTACGGCCTCCATACTGGCTACTGACTCTGTATTTATATCATTATGACTTATCTTTTGCGTCGTTAATTCGTTTTGAAGGTTTTTTTATATTTAGGTTTTTTTTAACTGTGGTGGGCCCAACCCACGCAACAGCTTCGACTGTTGCACGAGTCCAATCGGTTAGTACCACGACTTTTCTCAGGTAAAAAAAATCTATCCTATTACTTACTAAAGAAACTTGATTTTTGGTTATGGTTAAGAATCATATAAAGCTGCAGTTTATCACTTAATGAAAACAAGTATTTGAATATAATCAAGTGTCACGTTTATGTATCATTATTCAAGATATATGCACTACAACTGTGTACTAGTATACTACTCCAGTATACTGGTACACAGTTAATGTAAGGTAGGAAATATGTCAGTCGCATTTAAACATGTAGACATTGTCATAAAAACCAGAAGTTTTTCGAAGGGATACATTATTATTGCTGAAATTTTCAGCATGATACGTAATGAAAATGAATTTAAAAATCTAGTTTCCGGAGATGATTTGATTAGGTTAAGTTATGGTTAGGTTGAAAAACACCTCTCCTCCAAGCTATATATGCCACATGATCGTGGTGTCGGCTTTCCTTCTTTTTGCTCTTCACTTCGCTCTGTCGTCGACATATTCATCGGACACTTGAATAATTTCATCAGCTAAAAGAAACCGTGTTGAGTTCTGCCTATTATAATTTTTAACAAAAAAACCGACTTCAATCAGAAAATTAAAAACATTGTTAATACCCTAAACTAATAACATTCAATGATGGCCTTCGATTTCTCTGGGATGCCATCATCAGATCATGGTACCACCTTTAGGATATCTCCTTTCCGACAAAAAATAATCCTCAAAATCGGTTCATAAACGGCGAAGTTATCCGCGAACACACATAAAAAAATATATATTCGGTCGAATTTTCCTCCTTACCTCCTCCTTTTTTGAAGTAGGTTAACACCAAAGACCTATAATAATTCATCGCCGTCCAACTAACCTGGCGGCAGGTCCCGAGCGGCGGTCACCGATTCGCCGTCGTCGGCGAGGAGTGTGACCACCATGCGCGCAGGTCCGTCCGGGTGGAACCTGGAGATGCAGGCTCTGTTCACACCGCCAGCGCTGAGGACGCCAGGCGCCAGGAACAGGTGGTTCGGGTCCGTGCAAGGGCCCTCGCTGTAACCAACGATAAATTATAAATAACTAGCGACCCGCCCCTGCTTCGCACGTGTGTAATGTGAATCACTCTATCTAGAAAAAAAAAAATCGCATCAAGATCCGTTGCGTAGTTTTCAATATCTAAGCATACATAGGGACAGACAAACAGCGGGACGACTTTGTTTTATACTATGTAGTGAAGCCGTTATACGTCAACATCATTTGAGTATTAAGGGATACTTAATATAAACAAACAAAAAAGTATATCTTATGCTTTAAACGAGTAATTCAAATAAAAAAACAGACGGCCGCGGTTCGTATCACGATCATTTATACACTTTGTTACTTTTTTTAAAAAATAAAGAAAATGTCATTTTCTTTATTAAATATATGATTTAACAAAAAAACCGAGCAAAGCTCGGTCCTCCAGGTACTGTGTACATATGTACGCCCGTAAGAAGTTATACCTACTACTTTAGCGTAAAGATATTTGAATGCAAGTGAAAACGGTTTATTTAAATAAGTCGGAATTATTGGTAAATTTCAAAAAGTTGTTATTGGTTGCCATGGTAATACCGTGAAGTTGGCAGCGAAGCAAACCGAGCATGGTGATGAACTTCATCATGTCAGTTTTTGAGGGTCGGTGTGCGCGTGTTTCATAATTTTTTTCCAAACGCGCCAAAAGAAGTATATATCATTTTTGCTCCACAAAGAAATCACAACATGGGGTGGCAAATTTATAACATCCCTCTTTTTAGTTCACGGGTTGAAAATAATGTTTTTTCTTGCTCGACACTTCTTCGCATTTTTACAGCGCTATCGCTTTTCGGACAATGTTTATGTATTTACGAAAATCAAAAACTAGTTAAGAATCCAACATTTGTATTGGGCTTTTCCCTTTCAGTTTTCAATAAACTGAATTTTAAAACGATTTAAAAAGCGAAATTTTGTCTCTTGATTGCCGTACTACCATTAATTAGGAAACTAAAGCACTAAAGCGTTAAACGAAAATGGCCGGTGAAAATGCGACGGCGATTTCTGTTGCGTTTCGTGAAATGCGTCTGTGTTAAATGGAAACTGAAAGCATCATTGACAATTATTGCTTCCCGTTAAAGGGATCGGTGAGTAATTGAAGAAGGCTCTTTGTAAAATACAGATTAAAATATTTATATTTCTTTGATGGATTGAATAATAAAAATCATTTTTTTATTTTTAGTCTTTGCACTCAAGATGATAGTTTAATGTATGCATGTTATAAAGGATCCACACTAGATGGCGCCAAATTCATTAAAAAATAACCGAATACGCGGGTTAGATCAGAGCCAGAGCCAGAGCTCTCTCGAACTGAAATTTTGTTTCCATTTTTGTTACTACATTGTTTTGCCCCCCATAATACAGCAAAAACAAAAAAAAGTAAGAAAATAAAAAAGCATAAAGCAATGCTTCTTTGCGATAGGACATTTTAATCGATTTTGTTAATAAATGGATTTTAATTTTTTTTATAGTGCTAATCTCTGCACTTAAGATTAAACATTAAAATTTGTAGAAAGGATTTGTTTTCTATAATGAAATTTAAAGAAATGGATTATGAAATTCTGTACATTCTATACGAGTGATGCAAAGAAAATGTCGAAAAAACTTAATTTCCATAATAAATAAAAACTAATAGCACCCCATGGTAACGTGTATACCGCAAAGCTTGAGGGCAAAAGAAGCTTAAATACTCACGCCCGGTTTCTGAAACACTGATCATCGTAGAAATTAACAAATCAGCTGACAAATGGCTTGTCAAATGCTATTAAAGTTGCCAAAAAAGATTAGTCAACTCGTACGATGATAAGTGTTTGAGAAACCGGGCGTCAATGTTAAGTTTAAATAATTTTTAACACATCAATCTGTCTTTCTGTCTCTCTTGTTAAGGGAAAGAGACATTTGTTCTGTATCACAAACTCTATTAAGAATGTGTTTAATACCTTTCTCCAGGAATCGGTAAATAAATCGATTATAGAAGTTCAATGACCCCACGCGTAGAGATAATTTCTCGGGCAACATGGAACTGCTCGCCAATTTATAGCTCTGTGATTACGAATATTACACATGTATGTTATCTGTTGTTTATAAATTATATCGACTCGTTTCTTTCTCTCTCACTCGTTGGGGTTAAGCAGAAATTTAATGTTTCATGTTACTTATAACAGTGCTGTTGCTTTTAATCGTCTAAATGACGACGATGAGAAAAATGCTGATATTTCGTGAAGCAAGTTGTAAGAAATTAGTGTTCCAATTATGTAGTTGGTGTATTGCGTAAGGTGATGCGATATTAAGATAGTTTAACAATTTTGCTATCTCGAATTCATTAAAAACTATCTTGATAAGTGGTTAATTAATTGAACATTTGTTATGTTTTCATTTTTTTTAGTACAAAGGGCAAGTCTGACAGGATTAGCAGACACAATATACCATAGTCATATCATAGGAGCGGATAAGTTCGCGACTCAAGGAGAACCTTATATCGAACGTTAAGTACATATATTGATGATGCATCATCTCGTAAAAGGTATCACTAGTTGAGCAACTCATTAGTATTAATGACACACCTTTTTTAAATTCGTTTCATTACTACTCGATCTGTGGATCGATTAAAATCACCAAGTCAACAGAAACTTTGAGGAAATTGATGACTCCGTGGCGTAATCGTCAAGGTATCGGCTTCGGCGTTGGGGATCGTGGGTTCGATTCTCACACGGGACAGCTATTTGTGTGACCCACAGATAGTTCCGCATCTGGGTGTTTGTCCGCGTGAAATTTATGTTTGTAAAAACGTCCTTATAACACAGGATGATGTTATCCTAAAGTAAGGGCAATGTTTGATACAATTAATAAAAAAAAATTGTGTAATTTAGAGCGCCGCGCAGTGATTATGTTCAGAAACGAATATCTTGAAGATCAAAGCATTTATTCATCGAAATAAGAAATAAACATTTCGTTGATAAATAGTAATTTTTTAAATCTACCACCGTTTCGTAATGAGGTTTCTCTAACGGAGAAGAAACAGGCGAAAGATACTCCATGGGTATCCTTTTTTGTAATTTTTTTTCGCGTTCTCAAACAATTATTACATTGTTATACAGTACATAACTTTTTTAGAAACAGTTTAGGAGCGACTATTTTCATTCCCAGAGGTTGTTATCGTTAATGTATTCATTTATATTATAATAACCCTTTTCAAAAAGTTTTTCTTAAACAAATTTCTTAAACCTGTCAATAGATAGGCATTGCAAGTTAACTGGGATTTAGTCAAAGTCAAAGTATATTTATTCAATATAGGCCTAACTTAAGCTCGTATTGAACGTCAACAAAAAAATCTACCACCGGTTCACTAAACTAGACCTGCACAGAGAAGAACCGGCAAGAAACTCTGCGGTCTTGTTCTTTTTGTTATATATATTTTTTTAATGCAATTATACACACTTATTTGGGTATAACATCAGCAGCAGCCAGGGGTCTTGCAAGTGCAGAGCAAGTGTCATTTCCAAACATCCTTGTCCTCTATGTATTCTTGGATATTATAGTAGGCCTTTGCCATTAAGGTAGCTTTTACAAATTGTTTGAAATTGTTTATACTTAGTTGGTTGTGGATGTCACCTATTTTATTATAAAAGTTGATGCATCTTCCAAGAAACGACTTTCTGGTTTTAGCCAATCTAAACGTTTTTTCGTAAATAGGTGGATATTATTACGTACATACATGATGTTCTCAAGTATGTAAAGCGACGGGAGCGTCAAAACGTTTATTTGCTTAAATATATGTCGTAGCGACTCACGTGGACCCAAGCCATAGTCGGCCCGTATAGCCTGCTTTTGCAATACAAATATTGTGTCTAGACCGGATGCGGAACCCCAAAGTAAGACACCATAGGACATTATGCTGTGAAAATAAGCATAATAAACTAATTTTGCAGTTTCCTCGTTAGTTAGCTGCCTGATTTTGCGTATGGCAAAGACGGCAGCGCTCAATTTCTTAGCTAACTTATCTACATGTAATCCCCATTGTAACTTGGAGTCAACGCTTATTCCAAGAAATGCTGTTGAATCCTCAAGGGGTAGGATTTTCTCATCAATAGAGATTCCTGATTGGTGACACAACTTTGAAAGAGTAAATCTAATACATTTTGTTTTATTGGAGTTCAAAAGTAAGTTATTGGTAGCAAACCAGCTAGATACAACATCTAGTATTTCATTTGGTTGTTCCAGTGCATCATCTTTCCTTTTAACTTTAAACAATAATGAAGTGTCATCCGCAAACAAAACAATTTGAGACCTTTTTTCCACTATATATGGCAAATCATTAATATAAACTAAAAACAGAAAAGGGCCCAGGATCGATCCTTGAGGAACGCCCATTTTTACTTTTGACCCCGTTGACAATATACCATTTATGATTACTTTTTGTTCCCTGTCAATAAGATATGAGGAAACAAAGTCAATGGCACAATTGCGAATACCATAACATTCCAATTTCCTGATTAGAATTGTATGATCTACACAGTCAAATGCCTTGGAAAGGTCACAGAACCAACAATGGTGTCATGAAAGCTTTCCCAGGACTGCAGGATATGTGAAACTAATTTTATCCCTGCATCAGTTGTAGATCTACCTTTAGTAAATCCAAATTGGTGCTGGTTTAAAATTTTATATTTGTTAAAATGTACTATCATTTGATCCAGCATTATTTTCTCAAACACTTTGCTCAGGGCCGGCAACACAGAGATAGGACGGTAATTAGAGGCATCATCTCTCGAACCCAATTTATATACTGGCACAACTTTACTATATTTCATTAAGTTTGGGAATTTGCTACTGTCTAAACATGTATTAAATATTTGGGCTAATATGTAAGCAATGTCATAGATTATAAGATCAATTGCCCATATTGATAAGCCCCATAAGTCTTCTGTTTTCTTTTTATTTAGATTTTTAAATGTTTTAATAATATCATTCGGGCCTATATGACAAAATTTAAAATCTGGAACAGAAATATTAACATATTTATCGAGATATGTTACTGCCTCTGTGGGCAAATGTCTAGTAGTTTCACAAGGTATATTTGTGAAGACATTAAGAAACTCATTTGCTACTTTATATTTTTCTTTTAAAACTTTGCCATTAACTTTTAGTGTAAAATCTGCCTTTTTTTCATTATTTTTGCCAGTTTCCTTATTTATTACATTCCATGTACTTTTAACTTTATTTGAAGAATTTTATTACTCAAATAGTCTGCTTTAGCTAAAGTACAGACCCTTTTAAAAATTTTTGAATAATTCCTAACATATTCATGGAAGTTAGGATCAAAAGATAATGACTTAATACCATATAGATCATATAGTTTATCCCTGCTCTTTCTAATTCCCTTAGTTGCCCACTCACTAAAGCAAAGTTTATTGCCTAAAGTTATAGTTTTTCTTTTTGGCATAATTTTATTAAATTCTGTAGTAATCATAGTAAACAAGGCATTGAAATTGTCATCGGGATCATTATTAGTTAACTTTAATAAGGGTAGCTTGTGTTTGACGCTATCTCTAAACTGTTTAATTCTGAATTTATTTACAAGCCTACACTCATTTACAATAACATTATTTTTGTTATTAACATAGATGTCTATTTTAAGGGCTTTATGGTCGGATCTAACACCACTCAATATTTCTTGGTTTACGATTTTACAATTTACTATAATATTATCTATACAAGAGGCACAGGATGGGGTTACTCTTGTTGGTTCATCGAAGACACAGTAAAGATTAAATGTTTTAAGAAGTGACAGAAATCTCACTTTATCTGGAAAATCTGTGAGTAAATCAATGTTAAAATCACTGCAAATGACTATATGCTTTAGTAACTCGTTCATGGGACATGTCGTCGGTTTAACACGATGGATATGTCGTCGGTTTAAGAGGACGCCGTCGTGGCTCTTCATATCATAGTTAAAAATGACTTTGGCTATTACAACATGTACGGGAGACTTGTGAAGACGACCACCCAGTGACAGTAGTCACGTGCGAAATTGTGGCAAATAGTAAAAGAGCTACACATTAGCAAAGAAAGAATCGGAAAAACTTAACACGAATTATTTTATATCAAAAAAGTTATGCGCGTTGGCTACCACAATTACTCATATCATTTCGCCAGATAAACGGCAACAATGGTTCGAATCGCAATTGTGTCACAATGATATGGACAATATTAGCAAACAAAAGTTAATGAAAACTAAAGCCGTCAGTATGATCCCGAGTGTAATCGATGGAGAAAGAAACTCAAAGTGGGATATTCGACGTCTAAGATTATGACTACCATTTTCTTTTTTTTTATGTGAGAAGTGTGGCAAGCGAGCTGACCGTCACCTGATGTTAAGTGATAACTGCCGTCTATCGACATTTGCAACAACCGTAGGGTTGCAGATGCGTTGCCACCTTTTAATAAAGTGGGCCATGCTACTGAATGAAGGCTTTCTTTTCGTTCACACCACACGGTTCGCAGGCGCTATAAAAGACGGGAGTGTGTAATTTGACATATAAGTTCAGACCTTTTTTGTTTTTCTTTTTTTATGGATTGGGGGAGTGGCAGGGGTAGTGGGAGCCCCGGAAACGGGTACCCACTTAAAAACCCACGTTACACCTGTCTCTGTCGCATCGGCCGGGAGACGGGAACATGTAATCTAAGTTTTGACCTAGCTCTCAGAGCTTTCTTTATTCAAACCTAAAGAACCAGTAAAAACCTAAAAAGGAAAACCTAAAACCCTAAAGAGGAGCAGAGACAAAGATTTTCGACATTGATAGAGCTTTAATACCATTAAAAAATACTACCGAGTATAAGACTCTTTGAAATTAAAAAAAAAAAAAGTTGTACTCTTCCTTAATTAAGTACTCTAGTAACTGCGATCTTGTTTTGCCTTTTTTTTAATGATACAAGTATACGAAATTATTTAGGTACAAAATCAGCAGTCAGGACTAAGTCCAGCAGAGCAAGTCTTCAATTAGACACTTGATATCAACATTGTGAAGAGGGAATTGAACTTTAAGTCGCCTATTAATAGAACAAATACGCAATGCTGAGTCACCTCGAATGGAAGTACACATTTAAACCGGAGATGTAAAAACCGGCCATGTGCGAGTCGGAATCGCGCACGATGGGTTCCGTACCATTATCATGTATGTCTGTGATGAATACTAAAAGACAGGATAAAAAATATGAGCCTGACTTAAATATTTTTTATCCGGCTTTTTAGTACTTGCTATTATGGCGGCAACAGTAAATACATCATCTATGAAAATTTCAACTGTCTTACTATAACGGTTCATGAGATACAGCCTGGTGACAGAAGGACAGACAGACAGACGGACAGACATCGGAGTCTTAGTAATAGGGTTCCGTTTTAACCTTTGGGCACGGAACTCTAAAAACGCATCCCATACTCGAAAATAAATACAAGCTAATTAAGTACACAGCTACACACACAATTGTTTAACACCAGTAGACTACAACAAGGTTGTGAATTAAGACCTAAGGAAATAGTCGAATTATGATATAAAGGATTACAAATTTATATTAATTAGTAGACTATGATGTCTTTAATGCTATTTTAAGTGTAGATCGCTGGATTCAGAATCGAACGTGGTCTGGAGTCTGGCTAATCAATTGCTTATGTATAAACATCTACAATTTTCTAGAAATGAAATGTTTTGAAATAAAAACATTTTTCTATAGCACGTAGTTTTGAGTTTTCAATTTATACAACGAAAATACAGACATAATAATGAAGCGTTAGCCGTAAACATGAGAATGTAAACATAAACAAACCTGGTGAAATTCTGAGGACTTCCAATCACGTGGGCGTATAGCGGCATAAACAAAAAACTTATAAACCACATTGTGCTGTCAATGGGGTATTCAAAAATGCTCAAAACTGACGTTTCCAATCCATCACAAGCACTATCTATGACACACTTTTATAAAATATCCTAATTACATATTATTTGAACCTAATAGGCCTACAGCTCATTCAAATTGAGAGATCAAATGATCACAAATTAAACCGCAACCAGTAAAAAGCACACTCAATATAGATTCAATAATATATAACTAAACCCGTTCTAAATTTAAATTATAACAACGGAAGCGGAACGGCTAGGACGCGTCGTTCCGAATCACAGCCCCGCGAACAATTGCCGCTTGCTGACCATCGCACGTCGCGTCGCGTGCGCAGAGGTCGCGCGAGACGCGCTCATCTTTTTTTTCCTTTGCAACCGCTGTTATGGCCAGTACTTAGTGAATTGCGCTTTATTGATAATGTGTCCATAATAACACTAACATATTTTTAAATACAAGTATTTTATACTTTGCTCATATGTCCTGGATCTGTGGACATCAATTTATACATGGATTAATGCAGTTAACCGGGATCAAAAATGTTTTATATATTTATTACGTACTGCGGTAGACCAACAGTAGGATACATAAGAATTTAGAGCTAGCATGCCACGGTCCCACAGAAGTAGAAATTTAAAACACTTCTGCGATGCGTTCAGTAATGAGTAAAGGTAACCCGAGTGCCGCTCTCTCATTTTTTCCAACATCTCTTATATTCTGACGCCTGGTTTCTGAAACACTGATCATCGTACAAGTTAACTAATCAGCTGTCTGTGGCTTTTCAAATTTCATTTTAGTTGCCAAAAGGATGGTTAAACATTCACAGGGGAGCGAGGCGCGATTCCTTCGGTTTCGACATTTCATAATGGTCCCAAGATACATAGGTACCTCTACATATACATATCATATAGGTATCTACATATTTTAACATGGGTACCTTTTAGCATTTACCTAGGAATAGAAGTTTGCATAAGTCAATAATCACAACTGCGACTGTGCATGCGCTAATAGTGCTTCATTTTATGCTTTCAACAATTTAAAAAAAAACCCTCCATGGTCTAACTCTAAATATATAAAAACGGCAAAAAAATCATGTCTGGTGTATCGGAGAGATCCCCACTTAGTAGAATGGAAGTACACACTTCAACCAGAGATGTAAAAACGTGTCGCGCACAAAAGTGTCCGTACAATTATGTATAATAAACTAATGAGTAGGTACCTATAGGTTACCTGTTTGTTGTAAGCTCCCTTAAATACTTTTTTATTTTATTCTGTTGTTTAGAATTTGTTGTTATAGCAGTAAAAGAAATACATCACCAGTGACAATTTCAACAGTCCCACTATCACGGTTCATGAGATACATGAACCGTGCCTGGTGACAGACGGACAGACAGACAGGAGTCTTAGTAATAGGGTCCCGTTTTACCCTTTGGTTATGGAACCATAACCAAAGGGACTGACCCATAAATCAGAAGTTAAAAAAATACGTTAACAGCACTAAAAGTTATGTACTGAAGCTGTACAGATGCGACGTAACCCCAAAATGTATTTATTACAAAGAACACAAGTTTCTGATTAAACCTTCAACGTAGAGCATAATGGCCGTTAGACATTACGAGTACCTATGGCCGGTTGACAGTTGATATTTAATTTAATTCATTTACTTGCATTAACATCATCAATCAAAATTACTTAAATTCCCTTGAAATTGTATAAGAAATTTTGCCAAAACTGATAACAATGGCTCTTACCCCTTCAGAATATTATTTCATTTTAATTATTTTTTTCAAGACAAAACACAAAATTCTTGTCCTTTTAATTTTATATGCAATTAAAGAGTAGTACCCGGAGGACCGAGCTTTGCTCGGTTTGTTTTCTTTTTTGGTAAATCGTGTATTTTGGAAGTTACATTTAGATACAAATTACTGGGTAATGAAATATGCATAATATTTTTCAATCTTACCGACATTATAATAAGAAAATATGAACTGATGTTTTTCACAAAAGAAAGAACTTTAAAAAAAAATAAGGAAAAAAATAACAAAATAACAAATCGACAAAAAAATAAAAATAAAGAAAGCAATGATCTGGAATCGAAAAAAAAGCAAAAAAACAATGTGTAAATGATCGTGACGCGAACCATGTCTGTTTTGTGGCCGCCCGATTACCGACCGAGCTATTATGACATTTTCTCTTGCGGCGAAATTTAACGTCATATTCGAATTATATTTTTCATTCCCTGAAAACAGGGATAAAAGGACATTTTCGAAAAATGAAACCTAGCTAGATCTATTTTTCGCCCCCGAATCTACGCACATCTAAATTTCATGAAAATCGCTGGAGCCGTTTCCGAGATTCCGATTATATATATATATATATATATATATATATATATACAAGAATCGCTCGTTTAAAGGATAAGATAAAGACTTACGACTTGACATGAATTATGAACTGTGTTTTGTCCCGCCGAACATCGATTGTAATAATTTTAAAAGCCATTTCAAATTTTATTTTATGTTAATATCCAATATGTTGTATGAAAGAGTCTCCTTTGTAAGTTTAACTTGAGAAAGCATTCAAACGAAGTTTGTCTTTTGTCCTCAATAAAAAAAAATATTGGCAGATTATTTAAGGCTGTTGCCTTCGCGTAAAAAACGTTCCGATGACGATCGTACTCAAAGTTTGATGGACGTTTATACGATGACCTAACGGTAAAATTAAATGCATACTCATAAATGTTTATTGCAACGTTCGTGTGACCTCATTTTTTAACGCTCTTTTCAATATTATAACAGTATGACGACTTAGATATCACAATGAGTTGTACACTATGTTTACATGATCTACTTATCGACATCATCAGTCTTTGAACGCCTATCTTTAATTTAACACGTTCAAAATATAATAATTTTAATATATAGGCCTTTTAATTAGCCAACTAGCGACCCGCTCCGGCTTCACACGGGTGCAATGTAGCTACATATAAACCATTCGCTTGAATCACTGTATCTTGTGCTGAAAACCTCATTAAAATCGGTTGCGTAGTTTAAAAGATCTAAGCGTACAAACATCGGGAGTTACTTTGTTTTATACCATGTAAACATGATGTTCATTTCATTGGTTTATGTTTGGAACATCACGTTATGTGATTGACAAAACAATTTTAATTCACTTGAAAGTAATTAGAAAAGTGAAAAGCTCGAGAAATTGGTCCCGCATGAATTGTGTAAAGCACACAACAGACAAACATTGAGAAACCTTACTCAACCGGCACAATAACGAGGGAATTTCAAATCGAATTGTTTCTTGTCACGAAAAATGACAAATGAATTGTATCCAGTACGATAAGCGGAAACCCTCATCAGAGTCAAAACTCAGGAGGACCGGCTAAATCCTGTTCCAAGCGAAAGTTGACTCAGTAAAATATAAAAGAGCTATAGTTAGCCCACTGCTGCTTAAAGACAACGCTAGACCTCACACCTCACGACAAACTCGCTGGATTAGCGGTGCTTCTGGTGATAATTGGAACATGGGTGTTGGAAACGGACCATGCTCTCCTGATGCTGGATCGATCAATCAATCCAACAGACCACTTTTAACAACAATTTTAAGTTTAAAGTGCTGTGGACAAACTATGTCGATAAACTTAAAGCTCGTAAAAAGCTAAAAAAGGGAAAAACAACAGGATCGGTTAATAAAATCATAGAAAAATTTACATTAGTGTATAATTGCCAAAATTGCAAACATCCAAACATGTTCAAGGCTGACAAACTGAGTGAGATTGTTTCAATAGTTTCAATGTTATGAATACTTTTTGAAGTTATACTTCTTTTCGCGCGTGAAAAAAATATGAGAGTAAAATTTTTACGATGCGCGCGCACACAGACAGGTAAAAAGCGACATGATAGAGTTAGTTACAAAGCGACCACAAAATTTCCTTGTCACACTAAAGAAGTATAGCTTCTTACGTGCGTACATAAGAATATATATACAATTTTAATTTTAGCAGTAGAGAACAGTGTCACACATATCTGTACAAAAACATGCAAAACAAAACTATGATTGTTGTCATTAAGATAGATTAAAATGTTCATATCATAGTTTAAGTCCCTATTTTTTTTTTTTTTTTTTTTTTTTTTAGAAGGTATAAGGACAATCTTTATTGATCTAATATTTATTAGATCAATAAAGATCCCTATTATTAGATCAGAATAAAAAAAATGTATAGACTGATTTAGACAGATAGCTCTAAGGAGGTTCCTTAATCGAAAAACGCTTGACTAAAGAACTAATTGAGTTCATCTCCACTTTGTCGAGTGCCAATTCCCGGCACTGATAGCCAATTATTTTCATCTCGAACGTTTTACAGCATCATAAGATTGTAACATCAAGCATAAAACAATTATTACATTTCTGCATAATAAACCTCAACATGATTACATCAAAACAACTCAGTAAAACCTTTAGAATCTTATGTTAAAAGTATCGTAAGCATTCAAATGATTCACTTCCTAAGCATAAAATGTTCTTATTTGCTAATTGGAAACCTATTGGAAGTTACAACTTACTCGTATTGGATTTCTCAAGCGATGGAGATAACACGAAAGCTATAGATCCAGGCTTAATTTGTTTAGGAGTAGTTCACAGTATAATAACATTACAAAACAGTGAAGAAGGTAATGTGTTCGTCGTGATTATTTTTTTTAGGGTTTACTACTAAGACTTCGCTGTCGTCTGTCTGTATGTTTGTCCGTCAGTCATCAGGCTATATCTCATGAACCTTGATAGTTAGACAGTTGAAATTTTCACAGATGATGTATTTCTGTTGCCGCTATAACAACAAAAACTAAAAAAATGTTTAAATAAAAATATTTAAACATTTTTTTTAAATATTTTTTATTCTGATACAACAATCATGATTTTTTTGCAGTTTTTATAGATAATGGTACAAAACTCTTCGTGCGCGAGTCCAACT